GCTTAAAAGTTTTTTTTTTTCATTGAAATGTTTTCGACAGGGCTGGAAACAAGTGGTTTGGAGAATATGCTGCCGGCAATAAAGAGTCCTTGCTGGAGTCCTTTAGCCTATTTGTCAGGCGTCTATTCAACGTCAAGCCTATTTGTGGGAGACCTCCTTTTGATGCCTGCAAACATGTTAGCGGGTCTTCACCTAGTGTTTGGAAGCAACGGGTTTCTCAGAGGACCCGTAGAATTGCTTATAGATGCTAAGGATACCTCGCCTTGATCATGTTGACCCAAAGCAACCTGAGTCTATTATTAGCCGAGCTGAGATACGCAGACCAGCAGTGCTTCTAGACAGGAATTCGTGGACTTAAGATATCTGCTACCCCTGTAATTGATGAAGCAAATCGTGTTGGCTCTGGCAAAAAAGACAAAAAAGGCAAAAAAACCATGTCGAGAAACACGTGGATGATTGGCCACTATTGAAGTATATGTTCTTAGCCATAAGGCACGATCTAATTGGTATGCTCTATGGGATGTCAGTTTTCGTGTTGTGCGTCCACGGACCCATGATGTACTACAAGTTTTCAGAGTTTGCGGTAGCATCCTGGCTAGTTGGTTCACCATCTTCGATTGAAAAGCTGAATGATTTTCCACCCAGGAATGGCTGGTTTTAAAGGGTCTGAAGATCAGAGTACGTCAAGTGGTGACCAGGCTGATGAATGATGACGGAAAAGGCTCTTAAAGGCGCGACGAAAGGTTCGAGCAAGAATAATTGCACTGTGGAGAGACCAAGGACGTATCTCTGGAAATATGATAAATGCTCTGTGATCTAACTAACAGCAACCGTTGGCTCTGAAGGTATCCGATTTTGACGATGATTGAGCTGACTTGGAGGGATAGAATAAAATAATGAATTTCATGTCGTGTTACGACCAGGCACGAGTAACAGGCCTTGAGAGAAAGACTGGAACCCTTGGAGCCGGAGAAAATCTCTCTAGTGGCTTCTCAAGTTAAGCCCCTTCTTTGTGCGAATCAACAAAGGATGGGCATCTACACCTGAGTGAGGCCTGAAGCAGAAAAATGCGAAGAAACGATCACCCTAGAAGATCACTGCAAGATCACTGTTCTCAAGAGATAGAAATGTGGTATGAAAATTAGTCTGAAAAAGATCGAAGCTACATTGAGATTAGAGCATTGTGCTATAGGGGGATGAAATCATATTGACCTCGACGCTAGGATTCTTTTCAATCATTAGCTCGTCTACCCCTGAATTCCAGGTCTTTAGTGAGTTTTCTCATCGCTTCCTTTGATGGAGCAAGTATTCTCTTCACGGGATGGCAGTGGAAGTTAAACACAACCCACCACAAAACACCAGATGTTTTCTATGCCAAAAAGCTACAAAACAGTCGGAGTATCAGACTATTTTTTACACTACTACGAAGTTGTCAGGTGCTGATCCTTGAGGTATCTCGAAGAGACCTGGAATCAATAATATCATGTGGATGCCTGCGTCATTTCCGTTCTTGCAGTGTTTTGATAAATGTAGTCTTGATAAATTCAACCATACAGTCAAGGTCAAATAACAAATCGCGCTCGAAGCGAATTGTCACTTCAAATTTGCTCTTTTGTTGTTAGACTTCTGCTAACTTTAAGTCTATCTAAGTGTTCAAATGATTCTATTCATCTCATTTGCAATTTCGATAGTAAACTCGCCAAGCGATATACTTGTAGAGAAGGAGAGCACGCGGTAACTCATTTCTGTTTTTTAGGATTCGCACCTTAAATCCTTCAACACAAAGGTGGGTATAAGGAAAGATACAAAAGAAGGGAAAATGTGATGGAGAATTATTTTCACCAGCTTTGGCATCGTGACTTAACTGAACATATTTGTCTTTTCGTCATGTTGAAAAATGGATCACCATCCGTAACATCAAGATAGTAAGTTTGCATACTGTATCTTGAGTTTGAGTGATGGGATCAATCACAATTCTTCCGTAAATGAGCTGAATAGTAACAGTAACGTCGATGGAGATACAGAGGGAGAGTTTCAAGATAACTGAGATGATAAAGGACGAGATAAAACCCGACTGCTTGACTTGCTAAAATGGTGGTAGCGCACTTTAAATTAAGTTGATCAAAAGTTCCGTGTTTTCCCAAGTGTTTCAGCCAAATTTAAACTTATTTCTCCAATATTTTTATGTTCCTACGACCAATTTGCTTGATGGATATTTTTCAAATTGAAAAGACCCTACAAAATTCAAGAAACATATCACCCGACAAAACTTCAGTAACGCAAAAGAAGTCAAATGCGTTACGCACACAATTTCAAGACGATATGGGCAACATCCATATTGTATCGATAGTGGTTTTGCGTATTTAATGTTAAGTTGGAGTGCTTTTTAATCACCTTATTTTCTGGACGAGAGCTAAATAGTAACGAAGACGTTGGTGAAGATACAGATGGAGAGTTTAAGACAATTGAGACGATGGAGGGGCGGTAGAGTACCCGAGAGCTTTTTTATTTTCACGATCTGTAGAGTTGTAAATAAGGAAAGGCAGAAAAAAAAGGAAAAGATGATGGAAAAATATTTTTCCCGATTTGAATGCGCAATTTAACTGAATCGTATTTTTTCAACAAAACAATTTTAGTTCTAGTGGGAAAGCAGTATCGTATGATGAGTTTGAGAGCTGCGCTTAGTCACATTCCTTCTGGACTGGAGTAAATTTGAATTTTTATTGAAAAAAAATTCCTTATTAGTTTTAATACAGTTTTAAATATTACAGAGGCAAAACAGAGGTTTGGACTACATACGACAGAAGAACTTTCAAAGTTTGCAGATGAACCGAAAAAAGAAAAAAAATTCAATTTTTCAAAAAATTTAGAAATATGCAGAAGTTCGAAATCGAACTCAAATGCGTGCATGTTTCGAAACTTTACAAGGCAAAACGAATAAAGCAGAAAAATAGAGCTAAAAACCATAGAAAAATACTTGAAAAAAATTATTCTACCAAAATATTTCCTACACCTGTCTTGATTTTGTTTTGAAAAAAAACATCTTCAGATGAGAACATTTCAAAAAGTAAGACAATTGACTGTTAAATTGACTGTTGAAAATTGTTGTCAAAAAAAAACGTTTTTTAATGGGTAACAAAAAACTAAAGCAAGTAATTAAGTACAATATAAATTTTGAAAATAAAAAGAATTCACCAGAAGCCAATTACAAGTATTTTTGGAAGCTGAACCTAATATCTCAGCTAAGAAACGAATGCAAGAAACTTTGACTGGGGCAAAGGGGTGATTTCTTGAGTGATTTTGTCGAATTCTTTTGAATTCATCCGTTTTGAAACGCTTGTGGCCAAAACCGCAAAATTTCCATGGATAGCAAAATTTCCGCCGTCATTTCTTTTGGGAAAGAACTTGGTGTTTGGAGAATTTTGGAAAACTTAGCCCAAACAACCGTTTTGTTTCGGTGCGTTCTTCCCTAAACCCCCTTTCAAATCCACTACCTCCCTCCCCCCTCAAAACTACATACCGCAGATGGCTTCCTTAGAAAAAACTTCAGCGTGCCCCCATCTCTACTTCGCCCATCTCACAAAAAATGAAAAAATGACAAATTTGTGGCAGAAAAACCCAAATATTTCTAATTTTGTTTTCTTTTCAGGAACGAAATTGGTCTGAAAGAGCGTGTTTGCGAAATTATGATTCATCATAAAAATCTAGAGAAAAATTGTAGCACTGTTTCAAGTATGTTGTCATTTACTATGAAGAGAAAAAGAAAGTCAAATTTATTGCATTTCAAAGGTTAAGGATTTTGAAAAGTCATTGTAAGCGAAACTCAGATGAATGCGAAACACGATGGTTTTTGGAATCTAATTTGACCATCTGATTAACTACTGAACTAACCAAGGCCATTATACTGACAATTTCCAAGCGTTAATTTTTTTGGTTCAAGCAACAGAGAGAGTAAAGCTGAGTATCTATTTCAACATTTGGTTCTCGCTTCTTAGAATCAAAATAACTAGAGGTTGACTGCAACAATGAGCCAGTGAGCATTTTTTTTGAAATATACACTCTTTTTCAAACCTTTTTGTCATGTTTCGAATACATGGCTGTAAATTTGCATGTGTGAAGTAATTAATTCAATATAAATAACTAAGGTAAAAAGTTATAAGTGCGGAGTAAGAAAGCTATAAAATTCCTGCCAATATGACCTGATATCGAGTTTGAACTTAGTTCGGGAAAAGAAAATTTGTTAATATTTGACAGTTTCTGTGCTTTTTTTTATCGTAACTGATTTTTTTTCATCTTTTCTGAAATTTTATTTATTAAAATCAAAATTTCAGAAATTTCAATAGTTCTGAAATTTCAATCTTTTCCAACCATAGTTTTATCAATCATCAAAGTTTTTACTAATTTTTAAATTAATTATTGTCTCTGATAATAATATGTACCGTTTGAAATAAATCATTGGTACCGATTCACACCTCAAAACTATTTTAGTACACAGGACTACCCAATTTTAATAGTCAAGATGCGTTTTAAATTTTCAAAATGAGTTATTTTAACTAAATTTTTTGAGTCCTTACAATCTTTTGGACCCAATCCACTTTAACCCTTACATTTAATTTGACCCAGTGGCTAAGAAAAATTGAAACTAGAAGAAGCAAAAACAGTATCTAAATATCTAATGACGCTCTAATCAAATTTGTGTCTTGTGGATTGGCTCACGCTTCTGAGTTTATGTCCGGGAAGGCTCACTCATAGAATATTTTCAGATAAGGTACACCGTCTGTTCGTCACGCTATTTTATTTTCGGCTGGATAAATTCGTGCAACTTCTTAGTCTAATACCGATCTTAATCTTACTTTCATATCTCCTAGCCTCATTAGATCTAGTATATACTGGTGTTTGCGAGATAAGATATCAGGAACTGTTCTGGAGAAGAGCAACTGTTTGATAAGTTAAATTTATTCTGTTCTGGTTGAAACTTTAAATTATTGTAAGCTTTAGTTATGGATCATGATCGGTTAGTTCTAAGTATTTTACAGAGAAAGTTTATCAAGAATAAAATAGGTTACAATGAAAACTTGCGTTGAACTGATTCCACCCATCCGGGGTTTAGAAAGATCTTACGTTTAATGTTTGTTGTTGTGAAGGATGAATGGAGAAGTTTTTGATTCTTTTGATGCAGTGGTTGCGTGAAGGAGGAGAAAATAACAGTTCCTCGTGTTGTGGAGTAGTTGTCTTCGTAGAGAAAGAGGAGGTACAGTTGCTCGTACTTCAGAAGTGGGTCTCTTGTATCCAGATCATGTTTCCAGTGATCGAGTCAAGATTTCAGATTCGTACAATGATGAGTTGATTTCGTTAAGTAGAGCAAGACTAAGTGCATTCTCAAGTATTCGTCGAATAGCGAGGTGGGTTTTGACTTCTCTATATGAAGCGCCAAACGACTAGGATTCGTATGTGAGTTCAACATAGAGTTGGCCATGGTTCTTGTTCAATTGGTATCTTTGAAATAGAGTGTGGGTCACAAAGCGTGGGTGTAGCGCGGTGGGTTAGGCCGACTATAGAGCATGCTCAGGACGTCCCTCTGGTTGGTGAGCTCAAGAGTGGGTTACATTTTATGATCTGTTTAGGCAGAGTCTCTTTATATGTTTAACCTTTTGTTTCATTTTCATTAGATGTTTTTCTCTTTTTTATTTTGGTTGTCCTTTTATCAAAAGCAATTTGTTGTGTTTTGTGTTGTTTCTTTTGATGAATTTGGTATGAAAAATATAGGTTTGCATGGTTTTCGGTTAAGAAACATTTCATATGGTGATAGTCTAAAAGTTTTTTTTTGCAATTTATGAAGTTTTTTGCTCGTACAGCTATGAATGGATCTGATCAAAAACCTACAAAAAATTTAAATGCTATCAAAAAAACACGCAAATTCGAAAACGGTTTCTTAAAACAAAAAAAAAAGCTTTTTTCAACTTTTTGCAGATTTCTTCAATGAGCTTTTAGAATTTTTTGAAATCAAGAAAGCGCCAAAAGAAACTTCAAAAATGATCTTTCTGTAGTAACAGTAAGTTTTTCCGAGTTATTTTTGTAGCAAACAACACTGCTCGCTCGCATTAGTTTTTCGAATTTCGACCGAATATTTGTAATATCCTTTACAAAAATATTTTTGATACTTGATTATGCGTAGATAGCAAAAATTAGAAAAAACAAAAATAAACCCACCCTAGAAAATTCCTCCCCACTTTCGGACTTAGAAAACACAAACCCAGCCTACATAAATTAATTTTTGAATTTTGATGTCGTCATATCTTTGAAAAAGACAACTCACAAATCCTTATTCGATTTATAACAGATTTATAACGATTTATGCAGTATTAAATAGCATCTTTTTGAGAAAAAAAAACACTCAAAAATTTGGAAAAAACTACAATAAGATTTTTCCCACCTTAAATTCTCCCGAGTACCTTCTTGCTCATTGAACCATTTTTTTCGGTTTTATGCATTTTTTCATAATTTGGAATAAGTGTAACAACTATTTCCGAACTTCCGCGAAATTGAATTTCATGTTCATTAAAAAGTTCAAAATGTGAAGCCACAACTTGATCCTTCTCGATAATTAATAAAAATTTTGAAGTAGAAACTGGTATTTTTTCAAAGGTAAAAAACCATTTCTCAGAAACCTTCATCTTTGTGAAGTTCTACAATTTACCTTATTTTGATTTTTAAATCAATGTTTTCTTTAACGTTTTTAATAGTGACAAATGTTGTATCTGTTAATAGATTTAAAAAGCATGATAAATTCTATACTCTATGAAACTAATCAGAAGTACTAATTCACACACCAAATCTATATAGCACCCGGGACGAACTCTTTCTAGTTAGCAGGATTTGCTTTATGTTCTCAAAACTAACTCTTTTAGAACATTTTAACTTGGATTAATTCGGTTTAACCCTGCATCTAGTTTCACCCAATGACTAGAAAAACAGTATACAACTATCCAATGGTGCTCTAAGTATGCTTGAATCTTGTAGACTAGTTCAGGTTTCTCCAAACTCAATGACCTCAAAATAATATGCTACTAATAAGCACGCTCGACAGTCATAGCAAACTACGTAAATTGGACAACAGTTTTTAAAGAAAAATGACCAAAAAAACATAAGAATTTTTATAGAAAAACTCTTTTTTTTTAAATTTTTTTTTGCATTTTTTTGAACTTTTGATTCCTAAAGAGCCTTTGAGCCTTTAAAAATTCTAAAAATTAATTGAATGAAATTTAAATTAAACATAGATAAGCTATTGTAAACAACCTAAAACAAGAATAAAACGCTTGCTCGCTCGCTCGCTCTACTCGCTCGAATTTAGACAAAAAATCAAAAACTTCCAACCGGTTTTTCTCCAAAATTTTTTGAAAATGTCGTTCGAGTCACGTCTGAAAACGCTTCAATATGATATATCACTTGAGCCATTCCGATGATTATTTGTGGTACTTGATTTTGCGTATAAAACAAAGAAAATAAAACACAGCCAAAACTCCTATACATTTTTCAAATGGTCGGAACACCTATGATAGCCGGAATCTCATTCTTTTTTTGTTAATTTCTATATTTTGTTTGCTTCTAGAGTTTTTTTTACTTGCCGATCAATTTCCATGATTAAACCCTAACCGCTGATTGTAAAGCTGAATTAGCTTCTTGGGACCAGGATCTCAGACCAGGATCTCAGAGTACGGCTAAGATCAGTATTAGAACCAGGAGTTGCACGAAACTATCCGGCCAAAATTAGATAGCGTGATAAAGAGACGGTGTAGTCAGTCTGAAAATAATCTAAGAGATATGTCATAAATTATATTTTGTTCTAGAGAAGCGCCCAGATTGTCGCAGGATGGAGAGCCTATAGAGTTACAAGACGGAGATGAGAACGAGGCTGAGGGGGAGAAAAAGAAAAAGAAGAAGAAAAAGAAGAAGAAGGATAAGGACAAGAAGAAATCCAAGGACATGGACGCCGACCAAGAGGCTCCCGAGGGCGAGCAGGGCGACGTGAGTTTGAGTTGAACTGACTTGAAACTACTTTAAGAAAAACATTCGTCAGCGTCTATCGAATAACTCAAAATACAGACAGAAACGCTCTTATAAACAAGAGTGAGGTTTTTTTAGCACAAACAAACTGAGATTTGCAAATATAATCTTTCAATAAAGTGTGTCGCTAATTTTCAGTTTATCTTAGTAAGACCAACATGCAGAGGCGAATCTAAGAGTTTTTCGAGGAGTGGGGAGGGGGGGGGGGGAGTTTTTCAAACAAATTTCGAAAATTTTGTCGGCATTTTTTTAGGTCGATCAAATTGATTTTCCGAGCTCTCTCAAAGCACTGCAAAGACTCTGTTTTAGCCAATATTTCTGCGCCGCAGGCAAAATTTTGCACTTTTTGAAAAATGTTGACCAAAAAATCGCGTTTTTTGGCGCGCCCCTTTAGAAAAATTTTAGGGTGCGTCTCCAAAAATGCATATCTCAAAATAGTACAAAGGGGGACCCTTTGGGACGGCAGGGGGTCGAAAACCTGAAAGGAAAGTGTACACCCCCCCCCCCCCCCCCCCCAAATCCGCCCCTGCCAACTTGTCTCTTCAAGAGAGGTCGCCAACTCTCTGCTGGTTCTCAATAAACAAACCACCTCGCCCTAGGTAGGGCAAATTTAAGGATTAAGCATAAATGAAATTGAAGCCTAGTAACAAAATGCCTAGTACAAATTTCTACAATTTTTCGAATAGATTTGATGTTTTGATTTGTTGAGATGGACGAGGGTGGGGGTGATGCCTCTGCTCTGTCGGCTGGAAACCCAGACGAGGGTGCCTACTCCCAGATAGAAGAAGGTCAGGAGGGAGGTGATACTACGATGCCCGAGGGACAGGAGGGTGCGACCCAGGAGGGGGAACAACAAGACGATGAAGACGGCGACAAGAAAAAGAAGAAAGACAAAAAGAAGAAAAAGAAAAAGGACAAAAAGGTGAGATGAGATATCTTAGTTATAATTTCTAATACTCACTCAAAGACACTTATTTTTGTTGTGCAGACAAATGAGTATCTTAGTTAACAAGCTTAGGACGATTTATCCACAAGAGAAAGGATCAACCTTCGAGCTAATCAGGCCATGACTGAGACCCGTTGTTGTGCCCCTGGTTAAGATATACATGCAAGTTGATGACCGAGGTGAACCTTGATCTGTGTGCGCTGCTTGAGAGTTAGGAACTGCCAAGAAAAGTGCACAAAAAAATTCCTCGACTAATTGACCCAAATACAACTCCTTTATTAAAAAAATGGATTCCGTGCAAAAAGAGAAAATTAATTCCAAGTAGGTCATGGCTAGATCAACCTTCGGGGCAGGTGCGGATTTTTGTAATGTATTCGAAAATGTCTAGATTAATCCAGCAAATTAAAGCTTCGAGCTCTCCTTAAAAGTTACAAAGAGTCTGTTACATTCCCTGAATCCGCTCCTTAGAAACGACAAAAATTTGCTGAATGTTACTGAACGAAAGGAGCTCACTAAGTGAGTCACGGTTATTTAGGAAATTGCGCTGTAAATACTGAATGAAAGCCGAAGTATTGGCTTTAAATGACTTTTTTCCACTCACAGGGCGAGAAAGGCGATGAGAAAGGAGAGGGTGATGAAAGCGAGAAGCCGCCGAGTAAGAAAACCGAGGACATGTCTCCCGAAGAGCGTGCTCAGCACGAGGCGGAGAAGGAGGCGAAGGCGGCGGAAGAGGAGGAGAGAAAGGAGGAGAAAAAGAAGAAGAGGGCCGAGTGTTGGGACAAGTGGCGGTTCAAACTCCTCCTCACTTTACTATTCTTCACTCATGTCTTCATATTCATACTTATCCTATACATTCTCAAAGTTTAGCCAACCAAGATGGAAAAAGTCACCTTCTTATGATCTTTTTTGGTGATTTTGGCGTTCCTCGAAGAAAATAACCCCGAGTTATTTGATATATGTGTTTTACAGATTTATATGTTAGATATCGGATTTTTTAAGTTTTCCGAAGCTACTTTAGTTACATAGGATTTTAAGCATTAAATAACTATTCGCAGAAAGTCAGCAATTAATTGATAGAGCTGTCAGTTGCGATTGTTTTGACTGATGCACTGAAGAAATTTAAATAATCTGAAGATGGTAATCTTTTGCAGATATATCAGTGTATACCAGTAAGACGAAAACTGTCCTTTTTATTTTTATTTTACGTCGGAGCATATAGCATGCTAAATATTCTTAAGGCGAGCAAAAAAAAAAACTTTTGCAAACCAATGCACATGAAATTATAAGATGCCTTGTCATTAGGGCTGATATTTTCTAATTGTCCGTTGAAAGATTGAAACACATTATGAAAAAAGATAGAGCTTCGTTTGGAACATAGAAATGTTGCCTGGTTCTGATCGTGTCTTTGGACCAATCAGTTGTTTGAATATACTATGCAACAAAAGTTTAAATTAAAAGATAGATACTTTTTTCTTCAGAGAACATAACACTCCAAGGAAAATTTCAAGCAAAACAATTTGAAACGAGACACTTACTCTCATAATTGTATTATTAGAAAATAGCACTAGAAACTCAAAAGAATTAAATATAAAATTTTCGAATTTTTGTTGGTTGCTCTGCCGTAGATTTCATTCAACCATTCTGATGAGGTTGTCCAGAACTGCCACCACAGTATCCACAGTTCTTGCCGGGACTCCGGAGGAACTGAAAACTTCCGGGGGCAGATCTCCGTGAAATTGTCCAGTGTAACTCGTGTTACTCGTTTTCGACACATTTTTCAGCTCGTTGGTTTGGCCAAAGTCGAAAAGACGTTCCAGCGCTCTTGTGTAGTGGTCTGGGTCTTGAGACAAGGGTCTGTCAAGTTTAAATCTCAGTCTTCCCATCTGTGCTGAAGGTAGCTTCAGTTTAATTTCCACTTGATACTCGGCGTTAAAGAAGTCTCGAACTTGTTCCGGTTTCATTGCGAAGACATAAGCTCTGATCGATTTTTGTGCAGCGGACATTTTTGCTATTTTGGTTTTTAGAAGACCACTTTGAATGTTGACGCTCAGGTAGATTTTAGTACCATTAGAAATTTCGAATTCACTGATTGGAGAAATTTTATCAGGCAGAGCTTTTGAATCTGTTGTTGAAAGGCTGAAGAATGTTCGAGAGAGAGAAGTGACCAGCGAGATTTCAAGGTAAATGTCTCTTATAGAGCAAGTTGGAGGAACATTGATAGTAAACGGCTTCTTCATAGAGCTAATTATAAGTATGCTGATGGTGTTTGATGTTAAATTTTCAGCGACAGGTGTGAAGTTTTTTTTCAAAGATGAACAAGTTACTGACATGTTGAAGATTGAGTATTGACTTTCTTTAGTATGGTAAGCAAGACTCTTTTTGTTTAGCAATATGGTGCACTGGTATTTCAACAACAAACTTTCGTGTTTTTTTTTGTCGAAGTTTGTGGATTGATTCTATCGGAGAGAATTTTTTCAGGAATGATTTTCAGTTAGAATTTGGGAAGTATTTATACTAGGTCAACGATAGTTCAACAAGATTAACCATTTGGTGCCAATTAAGAACACTCGTTTGAACACCAATTATGGCTGCGTGCGATGCGAAATGATCCAAAAAGGGACTCAATTTGGCCACTTTGAAACAAATTGCACTGAGGGGATTAGTAATTAAGCAGACAGACGATTCGCTTCCGGATTAAATTGCTTTTCTCTCTTACCAGATTTGTTTGCTGTGAATATTAAGTTTAGTTTTACCCTCTAAATTTTTCAAGCAAGCATTGTTCGATAACGCAATAACTTGATTCACGGAAAGTAAAAGATTTTTTATTGGATAAAGTTTGCCAATATTTAGAGTATTTGCTATTCAAAACTACCCAATTTAAAACTCTCGCTCAATGTCGCAAAAGGCCACAAATTAGACTCTCCAAAACTGAAACATATTTTGTTCAAGAATTTCAACTACTAGTCAATTTTTTGTAGTTCTGCACTTGCCTTAAACAACAACTTAATTTCTGGTTTTTGGAGCCAGTCTAATCTAATTAAAGTGGGTTAGGAAATATGCTCACTTTTTTTTTTTATTCTTTTCAATTGCGAAATTAGGGAAATATAATAGTAACTCGACCGTTTTCTGCCATAGTTTTGGCCCTTAAACCGTAAATTTTGTCACTAGACTAAAATCACAATATTCCTATATAGTCAGAACAGAGCGCCGCAAAATGCAGTTTTGCGCTTAGTTCATCCGAAGTGAAAAGCAGAAAAAATTAGCATATATTAAGTTCCCGACCATCTAGAGGTGGAAGTAAATAAGGCGCTGGGTGCGCTTATTTGAGCCCGATTTTAGGTTCCTCAAATTGTTGTTTTGAAAAACGCAACCATAGGCTCACAAAAACCTTAGATTTGACTCAACTAATTGAAAAACGGCTGCGTCATTGCTATGGTAGTCGTAAGATCGCTCAAACATTTACCTGTTGGTTTGGAAGCGCAGGTGCTTATCATTCAGATCACACTCTTTTCTTGACCTGTATTCTACTCTACTTTCTGCGTTCTTTTCATACTTTCTACTTCTACTCTCTGTTTTTCATTTTGCAGAGAGCTTAGCTTGCGATCTACCTCGAAAGTTAAAAGAAGTAGTTGGTGGAGAGTTAAAGTAGTCAGTAACCCAAAAAGAGTTCCTGATTAGTTTGGAAAAAACAAATGATGGTTGCACTTTAAAATTCTTCAAACTTCAAGAATCTTGTGCGTTTGTGCCTGGATATAAATCATTTTGAGAAAACTGGATCAATAGGCAAACCGGACCAAGTTAACATCCTCCTCCCCCCCCCCCCCCCAAAGCCGTTTTGGGGAAGGATGTTAACTTGGTTCTAAATTGGGTTTTCTTAGCCCATCAGATTCGAGCATTTTAGATGCAGCGCTTAGCAAATTTAATTTATATTAAGCGCTGGGGTGGAGGATCTTAACTTGGTCTATTTGGGGGGTTAGGATGTTAACTTGATCCGGCAAACCTTTTATACCACTCGTGTAACGAATTGCCATCTTCAACGGCTAAGCATATGATAAAATTGTACCTAGTAACCAATCTCCCCTTGAAAAAAGGGAAAATAGTTGAAGAGATCTTTTTTTTGTTATTGGAGATTTCCTTTCTTTTAGCAAATGAAATTGGGAGTGAATATAAACAATAAATGAAAATTCAAACTGCTAAAAATACACCAGAGCGTCAACGAATTTAAAAACTATCCTGAAAACCACACATCCTTAACGCGAAAAATTCACTTCGTTCATTAACACCTAATAGACGTCTTTGCGACGTTCATAACACAATAGAATGATGAGATAGAAAAATTTTTTAATTCAGGTTATAAAATTTCGAGTAAATACCTTGAGACTAGCCCAAAAAAGCATTAAGATAAATTAAAAAGATTTCACTAGACCACTACAATACAGAATACAAAGGTAAGTAGACAGTTCAATCGTAACTGTTAGTTACATAAACTTTAAATTTCAATTCACAACTTCAAATTTTACCAAGTTTTTTTAGCGAATAGGTCGAGTTAGTTTTCATCTGAAAAGCCATAATCTGATTCGTAATAGTACATGTAAGTTAAGTTAAGCGACCTAGAAGTTGCGATTCTGGCAGATGACCTCTGGGATTTATTTGACGATGCTTCCGATCGCATTTCATTTGGCCTTTTTGATCTGTTTTTTGCCACTCTGCGCTTTTTCGGAGACGGTTCAAGAGGGGGTGGCAATGGCCTTGAACCTTTCGCCAATGTTGATCTTGAAGACCGTGAGCTATTTGAGCACTTTGAAGGAGCAGGATCTCTGCGTACAGAACGAGGAGGCGGTTTTTCCTGATATGAGTCTTCCGACTCTGAACTGGAACTTTGCTCTTTGAGAGTACATTCAGGATTTCTATTGCGAAAAGAATACGAAACACATTCTTCAAACTCGACGTCTGATTTCACATAAAATGTTTCGTGACTTTCCACGTTTCTTGTCGGTTTTTTAATGAAATCAGGCCTAGAAACTTTCGGTTGCTCAACATCTTCACTTAATTCAGAAGCTTCAATTTGATTTTTATCTGAATCCTTGTCATCAAGATTATCATCATCATAATCATCATCAACTTCAAGTAACTGATCATCTTCTGCGTTTTCATATCCGTTCACTTTGACAGTTTCTTCGTGATCAACTTCAATATTTTGAACTTGATCGTCGGAATTTTGTTCATCAGGTGTCACAGGTATGGTTTTCTCAGTTTCGGATTGAAATTTACGAGTATCTTCATTTCGATCATCATATACAAGAGTTTCTTCATTATCATTCTCTTCCTGTGAAGAACAGGAGGACGTCATTGCTTCATTTTCATCAGTTTCGTCTTCAAATTGTAAATTGTTTTCACACACATCCGGTCTTCGAGTGACGTTATTGGTTTCTTCTTCGTTTATAGTCATCAGATGGTTTGAACTCGTGGCTTCGGGAGTTCCAGCACTGTTTCTCGCATCTTGGTCCATTTCACTTTCAGACTCACGACTCTTGCGTGGAAACTTCTTCTTGAGGTGCCTAGAGCTCTTCTGGCAAAGGAAAAAATTGCGATTGCGACCCCCGAAGTTGACATTTTCGTAGAAGCGCCGTGCTTCTTTGTAGTCCTCAAAAATGACTTGAAAATGCTCCTCAAAAATTCCAGATAACTTGATCGTCATTGCTTTTGTCTAAACACACAAAAAAACTATGATACCCAGTTGCTGTGCAAGCGGCACAGAATGTTTCGACCATATTAATAACAAAAATAGAAAAAAAAATTTTCCCCTTGTTCTCCGAATTAGTGTCAATTTTAGTGGGCGGTGTGCTTCGAGAAAAAAAAAACGATGGTGGAGAAAACATGATCGAAACAATTGTCTTTTTTGCCAATTAAGTGCTGAAGCAAACATCCAAAACTAGTGTTCTTCACGGAAAATCAAGTTTTTTTATTCTAAAAAAATCAGTTAATTTTCATATAACGAGCGTTACTCGATCGCGTTACTCGCTCGAAATTAGACTAAATCTCAATAATTTTACACACGGTCTGCTCGACACTGGGAAAATTTTTTGAAGATATCAATCAACCCATTCCGATGATTATTTTTGATACTTGATTTTGCGTGGAAAAAAAAACTGAAACACCCGAATACAAAGTTCATCCCCATTTTCAATGGTCGGAACAACGATCTACAAAAATGGTCGACCTAAAACAAAGATCAATAAAATTTGGATTATTTTTTGAATTTATGAGGTCACAATCTCCGCAAAGGTAGTCTAATTTAAACTGAAAATCGAACACATTCCGACCAATTTTTCCCGAAACAGAATTTTTCAGAATCTATATCATGACAAAAACTTCTTCAATATGATACGAATTCATCCAAAGAGTTCTTTCACACACTTCGGGTGGTCGGAACGACATCTGAATCCTTTCATTAGTTTGAGCGAGACTAGTGAATAACTAAGTTTTGTTCTAACGACCCAGAGATATCATTTTTGTTACACCAAGGAGAAGCTGCACTTCACAAACACAATCGAAGAATCGGCAAAAGTAGCAAACCCCAGGTGCAAAAAGTAAACATAGCCAACAGACAGTTGGAAAAAAGTCAACGAATCAACGACCGCAAGTAAACAGAAAAAAGTTCGAACTTATTATTCGAGTTTCAAAGAAAAAAACATTGCCTTAAAGCTCTTTGAACTTCTAAAACAATTTATTACTGACACTTTTTTTGAGTAAATTCACCCGATTTGAGTGCCAACAGGCAAAATTTTTATTTCGCTGGGAAATTCGATAATCAAATTGAACAATTTAACAAAGAAAATGAACAGAACAAAAAAATCAAAAGTCAAACCGCGAAAAAAATGAGCCTGAAAAAAAATCGCGAACTATATGAGAGTAAGAACTACACTCATCGACTCTTAATAACATTCCGATATGTACCGGAATTAAAACCCTAACGTCGATATTTAAGGTCTATGTTCTAGCATCTGCGCCACTTGAGCTTGAAAACTATCATACATTAGCCACCAATAAATCAGGTATAATGCTTAAGCAAGAAAAGTAAGCCACATAAAACGCCAAAGCAATAAAAGTGAACCAGATTCAATGCAATTGCTGCAAAAATGCCGCCAAAAAATGAGCACATCAATTTGCGACTTGGGTTGGAAAAAAGAGGAGTTCGTATAAATTTCAGATACGAAAAGTAAGTGAAATAAAGAAAAACAAAGTGAACACAGAGGCTAAGTTGCACTTCGCTTACACAAGCAAAAATATGACCGATAACGCTACTGGGAAAAACTGAATGAGTAAAACTTTGAGTCTACAAAGCTTTTCAGGTGACGCACGCCAATTATGAGTCATTTTAACTAGCATACGAAAAACTTCATTAAAAACATCCGACCCTGCCCAGGTTCGAATCCTCTTATTTTGTTGCTGGCCTCCTTCCCTATCTCTACGCTATAGATCCATGATACAATGAAGCTGAAGTGTTATTTGTAATATAATAGTCTTTGTTAATATCCTTAGCATTGGCTGTACTTAATAGCTGGTTGTTGATCAAAATGAACACTTTCAAAGTGAACAAATTTTGTCGCAAGAATACTTGCATCGCAACAATATTTGTGACTTAGATTGGGGAAAAAAGAGAGTTCATACTATAACACAAGCTTTGCTTGTGTAAACAAGGAAGAGTAAAAATAAGCTTGGAACAATGAAGTTTTTGCTATGTGCTGGAATCGAACCTACAATAAGGAGATTAAGAGTCTCACGTCCTTGCATCTGCTCTACGATCGCTTGAAAATTTTTACAAGCACTAGCAACTAGTAAAGCAACTACAGTTGCTATTAAATTGCCAAGGCAGCTTAAGTTCCACCAAGAAAAATCAAACTATTTCATTGTCCCGGAATCTGACCTCCGACCTGTAAATTAGGCGCCCCACGACTTCACAGCTGCGCCACGGTCGCTGGAAAATGAACCAAGGCTAGCCACCAATAAAGCAGCTACAGATAGCATTCAATTGCCGATTAAGCATCTGCAGATGTCACCAGTGGCAAAATAAGCTTTTTTTAATTGCAACTTTTGTTTGAAAAAAGTCGCTTTAGAGTTTTAAACTACACTCGTTTTGGTAAAATATAGCCAACAGACATTCGGAAACATAGCCAATCGAAGATTGGAGAAGAGTAATGAACGCAAGTAAACATAAGAAAACACTGACACTGACCTAGTTGAAAAAATCTCAACTTTCAAAGAAAAAAATAGATGTCTTCAAGCCCTTTGAATTTCTAGAACAATTTATGATTGGTGCTTTTTTATAACATAAACCCAACTTGAGAAAACTGGATCAACAGGTAAAATTTTTATTCCGCTGGGAAATCTTAAAATAAATTCCACTTTCAAAACTAGAAATAGTTCACTTTTTTTTGCGCCATTTCCACGTTTGTATTTGGAGAGTGCTATTTACGTCAATTTCCGCAGATTTCCTGAAAAAAAAAACAAAAAAAAAATCAGCAAGACCTATATAAAAGTCTTCACTACGTTCATTAATTACTATTAAAGAGTCAACGAACGCAAGTAAACAGAAAAACAACCGACTTCTTTTTTTTGAAAAAAGTTCAACTTTCGAATTTTAAAAGAAATTATTTATGCCCTTTAACTCTTTGACTTTCCAGAACAATTTATGATTGGTGATTTTTGAATAAAATCACCCCAATTTGAAAAAACTGGATCAATAGCTAACGTTTTATATCCGCGAAAAACTGCGAAATCTGAACATTTGAGTCCATTTTCAAAACTAGAAGTCAATCACAATTTTCGTGACCTTAACAGTTTTCATGTTCGATAGTGGAGTTTGAATTCCTTTGAAAATGAACTGAACTTAAAAAAAATCAAAATTGAGCGTGAACAAATTTTAAGACTTTTTCCTAAGGAAAAGACAAAAATCAACAAGACCTATATAAAATTCTTCACTTTGTTCATTATTTTTTAAAATGACAGACAAGAATATTCGATGTTGCTTGCACAGTCAACTTTGCTTTCCTAAAATATTGTATATCAACTTACTCGTGACTTCTTGGAGGCATTGCACAGTTTTGACTCATTGAACAAGACTCGGATATCATTCGCAAATTGCAATGGGTCCTCGTATAAATCCATATTCAATTTACTTTGAATCAGACACAAATTGAGCGAGCTTTCAGTGCGGTTCCTCTGGAATGAATGTTCACCAGAATTCGAACCAGTCTGAGCTGAAGTTCCGACTTCACTGCCACCACTGTTGATTCCAGATTCGCCCATAACCGACTCACGGATGTGAACGGACTCTGGTCTGCTCATGAGTTGCACCATTAGCGAAGCACATTGACTCTTCCAAGAGGAATCAAATTTTGAAGTTCTCAACTGCTGAAAAACGAGGCTTTTGATGAATCCTTGCTACTGTCTCCGAAATACAAAACTAACACGCTTTTCAAGTAGCTTACATTCTGCCGAATAATTAAATCAAGAAAAACTTACCGAGGTGAGGTCAATCTTGGGATTCATGAGGAGTGTATCTTTCATTCTTCCAATCACTGGCTTTACATCTACACAAGTCTGCTCCCTAAATAATTTAATAAATTCTACAGATTTTTTCATTCATAACGGAAAAGGTTAGCTAGTTTAAACAGAGACATGATATTATTTATGATCGCTAAAAAGATACTAGAACTTGCTTCCGTGAGAAAAACATCAGAACAATTTCTACAGTGAGATTATACCTGACAATGTACTTCAAGATAGCCGTGACTACTCTTGCGTTTGCGACTATAGGAGCAGTCGGATAATTGAACTTCTCCGCATTCTGTGCCACCAAGTCAACCTCCCACGTCAAGGCCATCATGCGCCGATAGAAGCCACTCTCGATCCTTTGCTTAATCGTCAGTAGATCAGTTGGGTACCCAATATAGTCGATGTATGTTGGGAACAGAGATAGGTCAACTGGAGCTCCAAATTGTTCGGCTATTTTCTCATCAGCCAACTGAAGCAAGGTCATTCAACAAAATACTTTAACATGGCCATCAAGCGGTCAGAAAAATGCTTATGAACTCGAGGAAACCGGAAAACAGGCAGCTGATTATTTTTCAACTTTCGAATATCCACACAACAATACATCACCTTATAAAGTTCTATAAATTCCAAGAATCGTTTATGATTACAACGTCTGTAATAAATCTCAAGCCATTTGTTTGATCCTCTGTGAATCAAAATCAAATCAAAATCAAATTAAAATCTATACCTGACACAGTCAGGTGCCGTTTTCCCCGCTATTCGCATTTATACATTGTAGAGCAACTTGAATATGTTCATTTGTATTCGAAAGACACATGCAGGCGCGGATCTCTATAACTTTCTCCAGGGGGCGTGCTTTTCGACACAGAGGCGAAGCGGACCACTTGCGACACAAAAATAAGGGAGACCAACGAGAAATAGGAAAACCAGAAAAAAAGCCTAAAGCAAATTTCAATAAAGGTACAATACTTTTTGGTCATACTGTCCGATAAAAAAGTGCCATGCGGACTAATTAGGCCATTACAAAAATATTTGGTTCTCATACATGACCATGTAAACATCATTTAACATCACTCGTTGCATGAAAAAATCGATGCTCATCAGGTGGGAACTAAAAAGACCACATTAAACACATTTTGGAACTTTTCCAGTTACCCCTTTTAATTTTTCTCAAATTCGATTTACGAAAACTTATTTGAAATGACTTTTGAAAACCTAAAAAGAAATTAAACGTGTCACAGTGAACAGATTTTCTAACAATTCTCATATGCCTTATGAACAATTTTTAAAGTTTTGATAAAGTAATTTTGTGAAAATGGAAATCAACAACTTTGTTGTACGTAAAATGAACCATAAAACCTTCTTAAATTTGGAAACCAATAGAAAAAGTCAGCACCGCAGCAGATGTTTTTACAGGGTTGAGTGATATATCATATTAAAGCCCTTTTACTCGTAATTTGAACATTTAAAACTTTTTTCACAGTGTCGAGAAAAACCGGTTTGAAATTTTGAATCGAGCGAATAAATCAAGCGCGCATGCTTGCAACAGCTTAATTAGGAGAAATTTAAAATTTTAGCCCTAAAAACTTAATTTTAAGCAAGTAAAAATCATAGAGCTTTGTAGCTCCATTCTGCGAACCAAAAAATAGAAAAATTTTCTCCAAAAATTGAAAATTTATATAAATTCTTTTGAATTTTTTTATTTTGTTTTTCTAGTCAATTTTCTTAAAATGTTTCTGTCTTATTTGCCTGTATTATCAAATATGCCTAAAATATATTTTTACAACAGACTTTTTTATCACCCCGCGCAGAAAAACTAATTTGAAAAAAAAAGCTTTATGTAGTTTTTTAAAAGACTATGGTCGGAACATTCTGTGCTACTTGCACAGTAACCGTCTATCCTTGTTCTAATGTGAAAATTGTCAAACAACATTTTTGATTTTGATTCTTGGTTTTGTTGATATTAAATCTTAGTATTAAATGTTGGTTTGATATTAAATCTTGGTATTAATCAAACTTATTACACTTTTACCAGCTCTTCAACACTTTCGATGATTAGAAATTAAAAGTCTTCTGAAAAACATATTTTAGTTCTGATGACCTCCCTTGCTTAGAACAAAGATATTTCAGCCAAATTCGGAAACAAAACTTTAACCTTGATTGTCTGAGAAAAGCACGAAACAGTACAAGATCTGATTAAAATTTGATGATCAATTAATCATTCTAATGAGGAACAGAAATATTTTCTTACTCGTTAATGAAATCAACGAGTATAAGTTACCGTCTAAACACTGAGGGCAACATAACCATACACCGAGTATTTAGTTAGGTAAAGAAGGTTACCGGACCAATACATGAATTCCCTGCAGACAAAACACATGAAAAAGAACTATTATATATAATCAAATCCATATGTAGCTAAAAATTGACCCGAAAATCCATGGTTTTTTATTTTTCTCAAATTACCTTCTAAGCTAAAAAAAAACCAATTTTGGAGATCAAACTTAGCGAATACGCCACTTTATATTAAATCTACAGAGGAAAGGAAATTATTAATGTCTCCAATAAAAAAACTACATGCTCAATTTGCTGCAAAGGTAGTTCGTTTGACTTGCAGTCTTCTGACATTACGCTTACTTGGATGAGACAATCTTTGATCCTGTCCATTTCTTTGTGTCTATCTGAGTCGCCCCACTCTCCGCCGAGGGAGTTGTACTGGAACTGCAGTTCGTCCTCTGGCTTCATATCTATGCACGCCACGCAGCCAAACCTCTTGCCACTCCCACTCTTGTACAACACCTGGTGCAATAAGAAAGGGACAATACTCAGTGTAAACTGTAGTGCCGAAATGTTTTTTTTTGAAGATAAACGGTGCACCAAACTATAGAAGGTAGAATTTTGAAAATGGGCATATATATTATATTGCACATCTTGACTAAAATAACTCCAATGAAAAACTATTTTCCACTTTTTACATGTATTGAAACAATTTGAGTCCGAAGAGAAATGGCGAATAAATACCCTGGTTTTACTCATTTGTTGCACCAAAAGAACAAACCTGTTGATCATCATCTGTCAACTTCTTCATATCCCACATACTGATGACGTCATCGTCTCCATTATCATACTTGACTATTGCGCAACTGAATCCGCCATTGTTCGGTTTTATCTCCCCAATAGTTCCATAAAACCATTTGTTTTCTAGAGGTATCTTGAACCTGTCTCCAACTTGCCAGTTCTGATTTATAGCCTCCCTCACGACATGGTGCAGCAGTATACAGTCCTCAATGTGTTCTAGGTCGTGCCACGTGATCTCAATCGGCTCACAGTCAGGAATCGGCTGAGTGCAAGGGGAAGTTGAGTTATCGTCGATAAGAGGAACTACAGTCGCTGTGCATAACTGCAGGTGAGATCCAATATCACCATTCTGCGATAAAAAAAATATTTACCGAAATACCCAACAAATAGAAGTGGTAAATTAAAGAAAGGATATATAGAGAGAGCAGCAGATCGATTGTTACCCTATTGTTGGCTTCAGTGATTGATTTTGCGGCAAAAAAACGACGATATGAAATACTACTATCACTAACTAAAATTCCAGAAACTATTGACTTTGTTGGATAGGCTGGCACACTTCTATACTTGAGCTCCACAACTTGCCCGAGAATACGCTTCTGAAACAGCACGACGAATAACATCAGTTTTATCCAACAAATCTTTTGCATATTTTATTTAACTTACGGATCCTTTTATACATCTCGGCAGTTCAACTTGTGGACAAAACTCTTGCAATAAGTAAAGTTCAATGGTCTGGACCCTCTTTCTGTATATATCATGTCCAGCTGGAAAGAAGTAGACCGTGTCTCCAATCTGAGGCACGTAAGGAGTCCGATGCATTACTGTATCCGTGACCCACTTCGAATACGAAGGCGTGTGCTCAAAAACCTGGAGCTGGGCTTGTTTAGCCGCGTTTCGTTTGGGTCCTCTTTCGTATCCAAGGAAATTGGGTCCATGGGCACTGTTCCGTTTTGAATGATCAGCTTTCACCATGGATGAATCTGATTCGGAGTCAAACGCCTTTTTGATGCGCTAAAATAGTATTTTTATGACCAATTTTTATTTCTTAGAGCAACAAAAAAATTTTTAAAGATTTTTTAGCTACACAAAATTCATTTATTTGATTTAACGAGACCTCTGGAATAAAAATTCTATGTTAAAAACGTTAAAAAGCGCTCTTCGATCAACACTTCGACTAAGAAAAGCTTACAGATTTTCTGTGCTGAGAAGTTTCTCTGTACTTGATGCGCTTTCGACGTCCCTCAGAATCGCTCAGACTCCTCGGGCGTCTTTTCATGGTTCTCTTCCTTCTCTTCCCTTTCAGCATGACGTCATGTTTCAGCTTCGGTCTCTTCCGTTTCCGAGGACTGGACGAGCTGTCACCACTTGTGAGTTTCTTGGACATCAGGAGTTTCTTTCTGGCTCCTGAGGAGTAGGATACTGGCATCAGTTCTTCCATGGTGCTTCTTCTTGCCCGATTCATGTCAAAGTCAGGGTCATCTGATCCGTACATTCCCTCATAGCTGGCACTACTTTCGTTCGAAGACTCCTTGTCGTACGCACTGAAATATCAATTGAAGCATGAAAAATGACCCGTTTGTTTTGTGTCGTTCTCATACAGATTTTAAAAGCAAGTTTTAAAAACTTTGGTGTAGCTGTAGAGCTTAACATTTTACTACCTTTCAGAAGGATAAACGAAATCCATGTCCCTAAAAACACTTCATGAACTAAACAGTGCAAGCTAAATGAGTTTATTTAAATGAATTATAAAAAAGCAGAAAAATAAATTCAACGTTTTTTCAGTAACATCCTTGATGATTGCAAGGTTAGCCAAGGATAGCCGGTTACTGTGCAAGTAGCACATAATATTCCGATCATAGTCTTAAGCAAAAAAAAAACAATTTTTTTTTTCAATTTAGAGTCGTTTTCTTCTGCGTGGTGTGATAAAAAGATCTGAACAAAAAATATATCGCAGGCGCGACAGTCATAGAACAATGGACAACAAAAAAACATTAGCCAAAATTATATGCAGATAATTTTCTGAAATTTTGAAGTTTTTGATTCCCAAAATGACAATAAAAACTGCAAGAACTAAGTTTACTCGAGTTAAACTAAATTTTCACGTCTCATATTAAGCATAAACAGGCTATTGCAAGCCTGGAGTCTCACCTTATTAGCTCGAAATTAGAACAAAAATCAAAAATATCAGAATTGTTTTTCTCAACACAGAATCAAAAAAACTTTTTATGTTGTTCGAATTACGCCTGAAAGGGCTGTAAAATGATATATCACTCAACCCACTCCGATGACTATTTGAGGTACACGAATAATTTTGAGAGGCAAACAAAAAACTAAAACACACCCGAATACCAATTTCTTCCACAATTTTCAAATGGTTGGAACAAGATCAATTGATTCACTCGCATTAAAAGCTCGCGGTAGATATCCATTTAGTAAACAACCTAGAATAAAGTAAATGGTGTCAACAACAAGACAACAACAAATTGGAACTGCTCAAAGTACCAACTCCATAAATGCCGCGCAACAGCAATTACGGATGGAGAAAACTTTATTGAAACGAGGGGTAGATGCTCGACTAGTTTTGAAAAACACCAAGGATCTAAGCGATAGTAACACCCCAACCGTCGCAGTCGCAACCACCATTCAGCCCATTGCAGACGACATTGCCACTCAACTAGCCCTACCATCCAAAGAATCATGTCGGTCGGATTCGTTTTCAAGTTCATATCAAAGTCTAGACTATCGGCAAGGTCATTTCTGCTCAAATCTAAAACGCATTTAGCAGCGTGCATAAAATTTTGGTTCGCAAAATTTTTCGCAATTAAAGCTTTGATGTTTACCGATGATATGGTTCCGAATCCTTTTCAAGTAAGTTTCAATTTGATTCTAACAATTGGTTTTAGAAAGGGGTTAAATTGTAGTGGGGTTATCTAATTTCTGGGTTATATGAGAGGGGGTTAAGAAAAAGGGGGTTACAAAACACGGGGTGATAAGCTTGGGAACCAGAGTAAATACAAGCGCAAGCTATTGGTTTGATTTATAAGACACTAGACGCTAAATGCATCTACTAAGAACTTCAAATAGCGTATGGGAGAACTTTCAGAAAAAAAAATCTGAAAGTCTTTCAAGTTGTTTGAAAAATTTTCAAAAGTTTAAATAAAGCTGTTTTTTGGACAACGAAAAGCAGTCGGAACAATCAAGAATTCGTCTTGATAGGAGCAGTCTTGTTTTCTTTTTCAAAAAAATGGTTCCTATGTGTAAAACAGCTCGTGTGTAGATTTCTGAATGATGCAAAAATTGAACCCACAAGCATGTAAATTAAATGTATAAGACAATGGATTTTTCGCGTAAGCCAACGCATTGAGAAAACCAGCTAGCCTCAATTAAATTTGGAATGCTTTCCGACCCAGGTCAACTCTCCAATAACACTGGTTAAGAAAACACGCGAAATATTGCGAGCTTTAATCATTCCGAACTGGCAATTTCAACAACTTTGAAACAACTAACATAACAATTAGGAGTAGGAACAAGGATAGCCGGTTACTGTCAAAGTAGCACAAAATTTTCAGACCATAGACTAAGAAAAGTACAAAAAAAAAGTTTTGTTAAACTAGTGTCGTTTTTTTTTCTGCGTGGTTCGATAAAAATATGTAAATTAAAAAACGAAACTCCGGCATATTTGACAGTCATAGTAAAAAGGCCAAATGGAAAACAGTTATTGTAGAAAAATGACTAACAAAGAACAACAAAAATGGTTAAAAAACAAAAATATTTTGAAATAAAAAAACTCAAGAAAGCAGCTTTACTCAATTTTTACGACTTGAATTAAGCATAGATAATCTATTGTAAGCCTGCACGCTCAACTTATTTGCTTAAAAGAAACAAAATTCAAAAATTTCAGACTGGTTTTTCTCAACACTGCGAATTTTTTTTTCGAAGTTTTTAAATATCGTTCGATACACAACTGAAAGGGCTTAAACATGATATATCACTCAACCCAGTCCAAAAATTATTTGTGCAACCTGATTTTTCGTGGTAAAAAAGAAAAAAATTTAAAAAAACCCGAAAACAAAAAACCTCCACATTTTTCAAGTGGCCGGAACAAAAATGCCAGTTTCACATTTCACAAACTTTGCGAAAAACGGAAAGCTTGCAAGATAAGAATTGCCTTGCTAAATTCCGTTCTACAAAGCAACAAAACTTGGTCTTACTGGTGCATCAATCCCAAGCCGTCATCTTCAGCCTCTGAGCTGGATCCACTGCTGGACCCACTACACTTTTCGTAGTAGTCGTCACTCATCACTGCCGCAGCCGCCTCATTCGAGTCTTCAATCACGAAACTCTTCTTTCCCGCTCCTCCGCCTCCATTATCTACTCCCAGTTTAATTGTAACATTTGATATGTCCAAGTCTTTTGAGTCTCCTTTACGTGGACTGGAACTGCCTTCGAGGATTGGCTGATGTGAACTTTGCTGAAACATTACAAGTAATCAAAATATAGTAGTGAGATTTGAAGCACGTTCATTAATAGAATCTTTCATTACAATTTAGTGCACAAACTATGATATCAACTAATATTAAACATAGGAAATAGACTCGGATAGGAAAAGAACTAGGATAAAGATCCACATAACGCACCCAAGCCAAAGCGAAACTATTTTTTTTGTTCCGACTTTAGAAGTAAGGAATATATGCTTGAGGAGTTTTTTTGCTTCAAACCAATTTTCAAAGGATGTTAATCTGCTTTGAATAGAACGAAAAATCTCGAAACGAATTCTTCGATAAAAAGTGCCACCCATGCACAAATATTCTGTCCCTTTCTTTGAAAGTCGGCACTACAAGTACGCACAAATATAATTTAATTCTAGGAGAGAAATGGTTACTGGGACAAAAACAATTAGGTATAATCATTTGAGCGCTTTGAAATTTGAATAAATTCGTCGCACTTGGCTTCGTCGCACGGCTCGTTTAATAGTTTGATGCTGAAAGTATATCGCGAATTATGTAATCGTGGCCAATTTCCTGCACTACAAAACCGTTTCAAATTGTATACAAACGGAAGTCGGAGCAATAAAATCGGGTGTAATTTATTCCAGCAAACTTCAACCCAAAAATGTTTAAAGATTCGACCAGTGGTGCCATTCGACCAATGCCGCCTTGCACCCTGAACTTTCGCACAGGGTTTACTGGTTTCCTAGTCATGAATTTTTACCACAACAGTGAATGCGTTTTGACTAAACGGATGTTAGAAAAAATCATACTGCTATATAAGTTAACAAGATTGCTCGTATATCAGGGCAAAGCGCTGATTGTTCCGACTTCCCATTAACTTGTCCCAAGTTTTTGCTCAATTTTTTTAAATGAACTATAAATTTTGTACTGTTAATACCCAATGAAAATGCTAAAATTTACGTAGAATTAATATAAGCAATTAAATTCAATTTGGAACGATTATGAGTGCGGATAACTAGCCACGCATAGACATTTTGCGTATCGAAACTATCACAGAGTAGTATTCCAGCAGCGATGCCATCAAAACTTTAACCTAATGTAAGCACCCTCGCTTGGCAATCCAGGGATTTCCCGATCAATACCCATACGATGTCACTTATTGTAAAAGTAGTCTTAAAAATAACACCAGGCATATATATTCCTCATTGTCATCGAAAGTCGGAACAGAAACTGTAATAAAATGTGCTGATGATCAAAAATAGTCGACTCGTTTTATGACACAAGCTCGGTTAGTGTATATACTGAGAGGGGATTGCAGTTGAACAGATCGAGATGCCTTTTCCAAATTTTGATCTGACACCGAAAGATATTTTAAGCATAGAGTTTGCTACAAACATCTTGATTATGTTCTTGCTCAAGGTGCCCAAAAACTTGATTTTCATTTCTCACATACTGTTTGTCTAAATATCTGATGTAAATCACAAAGTGCTCCAATTTCCTACCGAAGACGTAATAGTGGACTCTTCCGCCTCATCAACTACGGACAAACCAGACAGACTTTCAGGAGGGTTCAAGTTCGACTCTTCATTTATGAGAAAACTGGCGGTCACTTCCTCTTTATTGGAGCCACTAGCGTTCGCTGTCACAATCGGCGGGTCCGCAACTGGAGCTCGTGGTGCTCTTCGTCGCGTTGACGATGCGGGAGGTTGAGCCCGAGATCCTGATGCTACAAGGTGAGCGAAAGGTGCTTGACGCTCAAGTGCTTCTTTCAGTCGAGCTGCTTCCTGAAAGACATTCAATTTTCATCAACTATTGAACAAAACACTATGGCCAGACAATTTAGATTAGACGATTGTTAAAAAAAATAATCTCACTTTCATTTAAAAAGACAAAATAAAAATAGACTTTAACTCGCTACTCATTTAGGTCTAGTTCCTGCAGTTCCCTATTTCTTGATTTTCGCTAGGAGTCGGAAACCCTTTTCAACCGGTTTGAAGTTATTCTTGCCTTCATTACAAAATAATACTAATTAGTGAAAGCCACCACGAAAATTTTTTCTCATAATTATCAATCACGAGTTAAATACTCATTAAAAATCCTTTTTCTTAATAGCAAAACAAGTGTCTATGAATTTTTGTCAATTTTTTAAAAGTCGAAGACACACTCTATTTTCGCGAATTCTTAGTTCCCGTTTGAACTGTCTTCTAAGGTTGTTAGGATGCCACGTTGCCATGTCACTCGCGTATAATCTCTTCCTCATCTTCATGTTTGCGGAAGTAGCTTGCTCATTCAATGGCGGTGCGAGTATTCTGTGGGACCACACAGCAAATGAACTTTTGATCTGGTCCAGCTGGGACGCAAACAACGGACTAAGAGTGTTGGATGCAACTGCATGAGATCCCACCGGGGAAATATTTGGTCTAGTCCCAGAAACGGTTGCTGGCGCTGCGTTTTCGGGACTGAGGACGCCATTTTGGCGTTGTTGATTTGCAAGTCGCTCGATCATTGAATCCAAGGCGGATACTCCAGAAATAACTCGCAGTGGACCTTAAGCACACCAATTAACTCTGAAACCTGATACGCCAGAAGAAATTATAACATTATAGACAAAACCAAATATTATACATTCAGATTACTGCCCAATTAGAATTGCTTGGCTTAAAAAACGGAGAAATCTGCATACCTTCTTCTGACCTATTAGTGACCGCCACCTGCAAAGCATCCGTTAAGTTTTCCCTTCCAGGCACTTTTCTTTGGATTTCTGGTGGATAAGGAGCACCATCTCCATTGACAAGGAAGGGAGGTACCATCAGGTGTGGTGCAATTCGAGTCTGCTCGTCCAAAACAGTCCCCCTTTCGTCCCAGAGAAGCGGCCTGTAGTCAGTGTGGAAGAATTGTTCATACTCAATATTCTGGTAAGGCTGAACGTTGCCATGACCGATAATGAGCAGTTGACCGAACGCATCAGTGGCAGCTATGCTTAATCCGTCAGGTGACCATTTGCAGTCGAACACTGAGCTGAATCCTTGGCCTTCCATCTAAGTTAATATAAAGCGGATATGATACTCGGGTAAGTATAAAAAATATCAAACAACCATTCATTTCAGCCTGTTTGGTTTTCTTAAGAAAAATGACACCACCAGCTAGCTAGAAAATTATCATTCGTTACCTGGTTGTAAAACTTCTTGATTGGTTGGAACGTATAGCAGTCCCAAATGATCAAGTAACCGTCATGACTCCCACTTAACAAGACTCTGGGATTAAACGGGTGCGGTTGAATGACGTAAGCTTCGTCCTGGTGTCCCTTGAAAGCACCCATGTGCTTTCCCGAAGTAGGATCCCAAACTCGTATCGAGAAATCACTTGCCGAAGTGTAAACTCTCCTGTCTTGAAGGTCCCATGTTACCATAAGTACCCGCAGTTTGGTTGCGTTTTTATCAGCTTGTAGGTTGGAGGAACTAAACAATACACAATTTTTTTTTCGACTTATAGCTGACACAGCTGTTAATGATAATTTATTTAAATCGATATATCCCGACAAGGTCTGAGACCTGTCTCAAAAATACTAGTGAAAAATCGATTCATTTGAAAATTTGTAGTTTTTATTAATCCATGTGTCTACAAATTAAGTATCACTTGGTCGGCATAACACACCTGACTCGACTATCATTAGATTGATCTCCATCTACGCTGTGCTCGTTCACATTCAAGGTCACACTCTCAAAAGACCACTGTAATCTCTGGTCAACTTGTTTCTGCTGCAGGCTCCACACCTAACAAAATCATCAACGAAATATTAGACTGTATATTTTTTTGATGAAAAGCTACTTGCTGCTTCAGACGGCTCCACGATAATTCAATTTAGGGGCAAATCTAGAATTTTCTCGAGGAGGCCGGATTTTCAAAAACATTTCGAAAAATTTTGTCGACCTAATCTTTTTAGGTCGATTTTTAAGCTCTCTGAAATTACAATAGAGACCCCATTTTGATCAAATTTTCTGCGCCGCAGGCACATTTTAGAAAAAACGGCCCAAAAATGCATTTCTGGACACTTTTTAGAAAATGTTGATCAAATATCGCGTTTTTTCGGCGCGCGCTTCCCCCTCAAAAATTATTAAATTCTGGCGCCAAAGAAGCCTTTAGAGAAACTTTAGGGTCAGTGAGCCAAAAATTGATATCTCAAAATAGTACAATCTTTGGGTCGGCAGGGGGTCGAATCCCTGATGGTGGGAGGAGCGTCCGCCGCCCCCCTAAATGCGCTGGTGATTCTATTTGAACTCTTTACAATTCAAAAAAATACGAGTGAAAGTTTTCGAGGATCTAAATGCTGCAGAAAATCTTGGATGATCTAAATGCTTCAACTAACATAATCAATTTCAAACACAAAGCGCAGCTTGCACTGCAAAATTATATTCCAAGGGTGTTCATAAAATTACTGTAGAAAATTTCAAATATACATCAAAATTTCAAAGTTGGATACACGGAAAGTTGGATAGTGTTAATGAATTAAAACAAATAAAAAAGGATCGACTTCTTAAAAATTTTTGAAATATCCATTTTAATGCATGGTAGTTTTTACATAAAGTTAATATCCAATTAGAAACAAGTAGCACAGAATGTTCCGACCATATTCTTGAAAAAAAAAAAAACATTTTTGTCCCTTTTAAATGTCGTTTTTTTTGCGCGTGAATTGATAAAAAATGAAAGCCTAAAGTATAAGCATATTCGACACCCTTCGTAAAATTGGCAAGATAAAAAACTGCTTCAGGCAAAAAAAATTACAAGAAAAAAAAACAAAAAATTTCTTCTGATTTTTTGCAATACAAAATGGCGCAAAAAATTTTCAGGAGTAGGCTTATCCTTCTACTATATAAAAACCATTTCTAAGCCTGCTCGCTTGCTTCATTCGCTCGAAATTAGATTTAAAAATCCAAAAAAAAATTAAATAGGTTTTTCTCAATTTTTTTTTGATGTCGTTCGTATTACGACTAAAAGGGCTTCAATATGATATATAACTCGACCCTGCCAGATTATTTGTGATACCTGATTTTGCGTGGAAAACATAAAAAGTTCAAAAATCTAAAACACCCCCGAATACAAAGTTTCTCGCCATTTTCAATGGTCGGAACAAAAAAAAATAAAACACACCCGAATATCAAGTTGCTCCACATTTTTCAAATGGTCGGAACAAAAATGTCAGTTTCCTATTTCACAAACTGGGTAATATTTTAAATTCCAGTTTTCATTCACGTTTTTGCGCACCAAAAATTGAAAAGGAATCAGAATTCAAACCGCCAAACACACTAGAACCTGGTCAAATTTCAACTTTAACCTGAAAAATAAACCACACGACCTAATTAACGTTCTTCACTGCTTTACTGACGATTTAGCAAACGTCTGTATATTGTATTATAAATCATGCCATCAAATAAATCACTGATTCTGTTTAGACAAACTATGAACTTTAACAAGACTGCTCGTCTCGGGGCAAAGATCAATAATCGAAAACTTTTATTCCGCTGTGAAATCTGAAAAATAGAAGCCACTTTCAAATTATAAGTCCATCACCTTTTTCGTGACCTTTTCATTTTTGCTGTTCGATAGTGAAGTTTTCTTCTTTTCAACAAAGGAATTGAACTGAATTTCAGAAGAGGTTAAGAACCAAACCGCGAAAAATCGAAAAATCAAAAAAAAATCATCACGACCTTTATCAGAGTCTGAACTACGTTCATCGACTCTAAAAAACGCACGATTTTTTAAAATCCTTTTTTTATACGGCTGAAAGGACTGTAAAGTGATACCACACTTCAACCATACGGGCTTGAAACAAAATTGTACACCACAGTTGGTATGAATGATAAATACAGCGGTGAAGCAGAGCTTCACACAACTTGCGATAGAAAAATGAATGACTCTCACTTCATGCAAATGAACCGACTACTAGAAAAAAACTTGTGCAAAAAATCCGAAATCTTGGAACTGAATTACCTGCACCTTTAGAAACTTTAGAAGCATCGCACAATTTGTGATAAAATCTAATATACAGCATGACAGAAACAAAGCCAACTGACAGTTGAAAAAGAAAAAGGAACGCAAAGAAACAAACAAAAAAACTTCAACTTTTAAATTTCGAAAAAAGTGAATGATCTCAAGGCTGTAGAAATTGTAGAAAAATCTATGATGGAAACTTTTTTGGTTGGAATTACCCCATTTCGAGAAAACTGGAAAAAACTGGAAAATTTTTTTATTTCGCTGGGATACCTGATTATTAATTTTTTTTCGAAATAAGAATTCGATCACGTTTTTCGTGGCCTTTACACTTTTGCTTTTCAATAGTGGAGTTTGCCTTCCTTTTAACAAGGGAAATAACGCATTCATATAGTAAATACCATTTTATTAAATGCGACAGAAGATCTTGATGTTTGTCCTTTTTACTTGCAATGCCAAAAAATTACGAGAAAAACCGAAAAGATCTCTTTACCTTGGCCGTTCCATCTCTACTCCCACTGATGAACTTATCCCCGCAATGACTAAACTCTATACTGTCAATCTTATCCTGGTGTGCGTTGATCTCTGCTATTCGACTAACAGCTCCTGATGAGTTGAAATGATAGATTCTAAGTACATGCTCTGAGCTTCCTGTCACTAACAAAGCGCCGCCTGGACTAAAAGAAAGGCACAGGGTTTGTGAGTTGGGCTTGTCCTTTTCACTGAAAACTATGGGCGGGAAGTCAAAATTGGTGCCGATATGAGGCCAGATGCACAGAGTTCCGTCGAGAGCTGTTGATGCAAGGAAGCGTTTCTGTCCATCAACCCAAGGAGAAAACTAAAAAAACAGCAGATAAAACCTTTCCTCTGATACTCTGACAAAGAGTACTCAACTTAGTCGGGCAATATATTTATGCAGCAAATGAACCTTGCAGAAAAAGCTAACGAATTTACTTCAATTGAAGACAATAGCCCTCCGTGACTCTTCAAAACGGCAACAGGTGCAGTCGTGTGCAGGTCCCACACGCGCACAGACGAGTCATTCCCGCCGGCTGCTAACAGTGTGTTCTCCTGATTTGTCAACACGTCCGCGACTTCTGCTTCGAAACCTCGGAACGAGCAGAGGAGTCTACCACTTCGGGCATCCCAGCATTTAACGAGTCCATCATCGGCACCCTGTGAAAGAGAACAAAACATGATTGTATTTTTTTCTAGAGCCGACAGATCAATTTAGCTCCGGCTGAATAAATGTTTAAAAGATCGATCAAAGATGGCCTATACATTACATCATCTGGCAAAAAGTCAAGGCTTACCGTAAATACTCTGGTGCCCGTTCTGTCAAAATAACAGCAGTACACGTGCATCAAGTGTCCAAGCACCCTCGTTAGGTGTCGCATTTTGGCAAACACTACAAATGGTGACTGCACAAGACTCGGTAGAGCCCTTCCAGTTATAGCTCTTGCCCTCACCACATTCGCTGTAAGCAAATCATGATGGTCAGATATACTCAGTTAAACCATACCTTACAAATGATCTTATCGATAACCTGCTGCCTGAAAAATTCTATATCAAGTCCGCCTCATACACAAGCATATCTTTTTACGGCGAAGGCCTTAGCTTAGTGTAGCCTAACTTTGGCTTACATGGCACCACAGAAAATAAAAGAGAAAAAATATATTTTATTTTCTACCAATTTTATATGGGTGCACTTTTTCTACAGTTTTTTAAAATTTTTTCAATTTTTATTTAGCCATGCACTTTGTCTATCTTTGCTAATATGTTTGCCAGCCAAGAACAAAACGATAAATGACTAATGTGCACCTATGTTGATGGGGTTGGTACAGGATGGCGGAGGTAGAAGTGAGCACTGCTTGTGAGAGGCAATCAGCTTCGTTTCAGTCCAGTCAACGCAGCTCACATCTAAACACGACGACTTCAAAAACCAAGCTGAACCTCACCTCATTGTTTTGGACCAGTAACATGAAAGGGGCCAACTATCTAAGCTCCATTGGCCTATACTGTCTAGGAACCCTTTTCATACACTTTAACCTCATCCGTTTTAGATGGACGAACTAAAAATGTACTGATGGCTCCTAGTACTTCAAAATTTATCATTTCCAACGAAAGCGTCGAAGTTTTCTAAATTTTTTAGTTTGATTCAAACTTTCTATCTGCTTCAAAAAGGTCAGCAAAATGAAAAACTCCTCCTTTCAAAGAATTTCTCCACCGGGCTCTCAATGTTTCGATAGTATAATTTTGCAAGCATAGTTGTTGGAGTCGATCTACAATTCATTGACAAAATCAAGAAAAATTGAAACATGAAAAAAATTTGTTGGATGTTTCGCTTTGAAAAGTAATTTAGATCTTCATTTGAACAAGAACAACTTTAGTCTTTACCCTTGCTAGTACGCAGCAGGGAGAATCTGCCAGTTCCGAGCAAAGACTGCACCTTAGAGACTCCATTGGGAACTTGGAGGTCAGCCAGGTTCAGGGCTCGCTTGCACACCAGCAGTAAATAGTCATCAGGCACATTTCGGAAACTGTCAGGCTAAAGTTCAACGATTGGTGCTCGATATAATACAGCGTATATGCACCTTTCAGATTTTAAGGAATTTAAATTAATTATTACTACTTCAAGGCCCGAATAAGATTAGAGATACATTTGAAAAATATTTTCAAAATTATGATTTTGTTTGAACACGTTTTTGCGATGATTCGCAAACATTATTTCAAGCAAAAACGACAAAAAAATGAACTAACAAATGCGGATATCTGTGAGAAGATAGACGTCGATTTCAATATTTCACTCAGTCCCTGTAAAAAGGAAAGTATATGATGTTTCATCAAAACACAAAATTAAGAAAGTACGTCAAACAAGCATAATTACTTTGTAGGTATCAGTGTCAACCTTCGCTCTCAAGTATCTCAGGATCAAAAAGTTCAAATCTAAATAAAGGGCACAATAGAACAACATTTCATTAGATTGATTATCTTATCAGTTAGCTTATTCTTGCATACCTGATTGGACTTCATCTGAACGATTGCTGATTCCATTAGGTAATTTCAGAACATTCTTTCGGTTTTGGCCACTCATTTTTCCTCAAAAGTTTTTCACGAATCAAAAGTTTGCCACTAAATTGTCACTGGCTCAATCGATCGCTCAACAACTAAAGTGAAACAAACTCACTCTCCGTATTCTGATAGACATTTTTAACTGAAGCAGAAACATTTTTATCTAATTTGGTTCCCATTATAAACTCAGGCCACGCCCAGCTCTAACGAACATTTCAAAAACTTTCCTTTTTGCAAATGTCTAACTTTCGTAATAACGAGCGGAAAAAATGAGATTAAACTCAAGGATCAAGCAAACCTAAATGTGTGCAAATTCTGTGCTTTTTTCGATGGTGAAAGTCCAAGAAAAATTTTACACTCCAAATGTTTGTTCGGACCCATTTCGGTTATTGCAATAATAATTTTTGACGGAACATTCTCATTGCAAACTAAAGATATTGACTGCCCCTCCCCCACACACACTTACATGGGCATAAATTAAATAGTGTGGTCCATTAAGGGTTTTACCAGGAAGAGGTATGGTATTGTAGAGGAGCACAAATATGTTAGGAATAGTCAGTCCCGTATGCCATTTTATTAATACATTGTTCTAGTGTCACATACTATTCGCATATCGTTCTCGAGATCACATTGTTTTATATTGCCTTTAACGCAAATTGAGTTACCGTGAGCATCAAATTTTGCTAGATATCCAACGTTATAACTAGTTTGTCAAATTTCGGGTTCAAATCTAATTCAGATAAACTTACTTTTCGAGGAATTTGTGATTTCATAGGATTTAATGGCAAGAGGAGAAAAATGATGGGTACATTACCTTCAAAACCAGTAGACAAAAATCTTCGCATCGAACAGCCAAATTCAATTCGAACAGCTAGTCTTCAACGCAAAAATTACAGATTTTGGCTTCTCGATGCGAATACTTTTTGTTTACTGGTTTCGATGAAAACGCGAATTTTAACATTTTTGGAAAAGATTTGAAGGTTGTTTGAATAAATAAATCAACAACCGATCCTTCTCATTTTGTACCTTTCCATCAAAACCAATAAAAATGTAGCATATCCAACTGGCAGTTGGAAAAAAGTCAATGAACGCAGGAAACAGAAGAAAAAACTTTTTTTACAAACTTGAAATTTACAATTTAAAATTAAAAAATATATACAATTGCAGCTCTTTGAACTTCCAGAACAATTTATCATGGGAACTAAGGCATATTCTAAAGTAGCACTAAAGTGAGCATATTCAAAAACAGTTATCTTCGAAAAATTAAAAAAAAAATTAAATTGTTGAAATTTTGGTAGAAAACTTGATTCATTCTTTTAAAATAACATTTTTTCACTCAAAGGCGCTGGATGAAACTTCACAAACTTTTTTACTGAATTAAAACTAAGTTTCCACAAATTAAAAAAAGCTTATCGCCATTATAAGAATGCTCCCTCGCTTTATTCGCTCGAAATTCGGCTACAAATCAAAAATTTGAACCCAGTTTTTCTCGACAGAGAACACTCTTTGAATTTTTAAATATCTTTTGAATCACGACTGAAATGGCTATAAAACTTTTTATAACTCGACTCAGTTCGATGATTATTTCTGGTATCTGGTTGATCGTAGAAAAAGAAACACTGACAACGAACGCAAGGAAACAAAAAAAAAACAGACTTGTTTTTTTTTCACAATAAACGTTAAACCTTCCAAGTTCAAATAAAAAACTAAATGGCCTTGAAGCTGTTTAACTTTCAAAGACAGTTTATGATAGACCCTTTTGTTGATAACATCAACTCAATTTAAGAAAATTAGATGAAATTGCATTTTTTTTATTCCGCTGGGCCAGAAAATGAAATCTATATTCGAAACTAGAAGCCGGTCACGTTTTTTGTGGCATTTTCACTGTTGCCGTTTGATAGTTCAGTTTTCCTCTCTTGCACAAAAGAAATGAGCTGAACTTGTTCCGACCACTTAAGTCAGAACAATTGGAAAAAAACTTAAGTTTCTCCATTGAACACTAAGTTTGAGAATTAGCACAGTAGTTTTCGAGAAAAGGCAAACAGTTTCCAATAAATGGTTAAAGAAGTCCATTACTTTTTTTCTTAAAAAACTGTGCATAGTTAATTAAAAACGTAGGCATTCAACAAACTGTTGTTTCGATTAAACCTATGATATCAGATTTGGCGGGATAGTTAGCGAGAAAAGTCCACAAAAAGGTCAACAAATCAATAACTTGACATTTCCGAGATTCAGAGCTTTTTGTGAGAAAAACGGGAGTAGCCGCTTCTGCAAAAAGGATTCACGCAACTTGTTATTTCGATGCACCCAAAATCTTAGATTTGGGTGATTCTCGAGAAACTTTTAAACTTTGACTTTTCCGGGGGCCATAACATTTGGTGCCAAAAAAACTTGGGCGGATTCGCATAAGCAAATGAGCTTCCCACAACAAATGAGCTTCCCACAACACGTTTACATTTCAACGATTTGTAAACAAACAAACAACCAAACTGAAAAACCGGGCGGGGAGCGTAAAAACGACCCTTGAAATGAACCAAAATTAGTCATTCAGCCGATAAAAAATAGCCGAAATAATTTGGGCCGAGGATTTTTTTTTTGGCGAAACAAAAAAACACAAAGGAAATAACGAAGTCAAGGTAAGTAAAATTACAAATTGTAGGAGTAGATCAAACAATAATAGCAACCTTAAAGAAAAATTCGCGCAGCAAAAAAAATAATTTCAAGATGTGACAACTAAGGCAACAACAGATAAGCAGACAACTAATTGGCCGACAATTTTATTTGAAACAGAATATTTTCCGTTCGAAAAAAAAACAGGTCCTACTAAGATTCGAACCAAGAACCTTTGCCGTCCCAGGCATATTGGTTACCTCCAGGCGCTAAGTTGGATGTTCAATTTGAAGAAAAAAGTTAACAATCGCAGCGATCAGCCTTAAAATAGCACTACGGTGAAAAGTACAAAGCGGTAACAAGGCAGACAAGACTCCGGAAGACGTCCCTTGAGCTGAAAATTGAACTAAAAAATTTGCGCTATAAAGTTTTGAGATTCCAAATTTGTTACGTCCCCCAAAGCACAAAATTTTCAAAAACATTAGTTTGTCTTTTAAACGACGTTTTATGAAGCAACTACACCAGAAAAATTATACGCCGCAACAATTTCAGCCAAAGAACTTCCGAAAGAAAAAAAACATGACATAAATGGCAATTAAACACACAGAGGCGAAGTGAACTTCGCACCACTTGCAATACAACTCGATTTATCACAATAAATGAAGATAGCTGTGAATATAACCAAGCGGTAACAAAGCAAGAATTATTCATGCCGAAAAAACGTTAGAAAACTAAGTCCCCTCAGAACACTCACTCACACAAAAACTTTTGTCGCTCATCAAACGACGCAATAAGAGGCTACTTAGCCGATATACGAAAGTCAAAAGCTTTAAGACAAAAAGCTTTAATTTTACTCTACCTTTTTGAGGCATCCAAAATTTTGTTTATTGAAAACGTTTGAGCATTTTTCAACTTTCAGAAATATATACACAGAGGCGAAGCTGCGCTTCGCAAACACTTGCGAGCACACGACCAAAAAAGCAGCTATATGAGTGACATCAGAAAAAGTGAAAATAAGCCTAGAATTTGCGAAAACTGGAGGCTCAGCAAAAACTCGAATTGGCAAAATTCTGCGACTGTGCAAAACTAAGTCTCACGCACTAACCATTCAGTCACGGATGCTTAAAATCTCCAAAAACTAGCCACAAATAATGCAGCTACATGTGCTAATAAATTGCCAATTCGATACAGCAAAAGTAGCATCAAATACAAAAAGTACAACATTGCATGTAAAAAATCGCAAATCGTATAGCCATATTATGTATAAACCATGCATTTCAGAAAATTTCGAGATATATTGAGTTAGAAACTTTTTGAATTCGAGATTTTGTTATTTGTTGTTGTTTGAAGCGAATAGCTTTCTTCGGTTCACTTGATGAATTAAAAATGCATCAACTGTGTAAATTTATAACTATTCGAATGCCAAAGCACATGTTATCAATAAGCTGTAAAGATGCAATTAAATATCAAAGGTGCAAGTAGAGGCCAGCCAAAGCTGGAAAAACTTTTTTGATAATTTTTGAAATTTCTGTGTTGATGCGGAAGGACAAGGGTAATTTCAAAAACAGACCTATAGCAAACAAAGGTAAATCCCAATTTAATGACTTCAAAATCTGTTAATTTCATCAATTACTTCAGTTTTCTAAAGAATTGAAGTGATAACAAGAGATTGTTAGGTTAAAAGATGCTTAAAACGATGCTCATTAGATTTGGGTGGGTAGTTTTCGAGAGAAGTCAAGTTTCAAAAAACGGTAAAAAAAATCAAAAATTTGACTATTCCGAGGGTCATAACTTTTTCTGTAAAAAAATTGGTCGTAACCTCGTAAGCAGGAGAGCTTCCCACAATCCGTTCTACTTATTGAAAACAAATTCTCAGATTTGAAGGGGCAATTTTCGAGAAAAGTCAAAAAGTTTGAAAAAACGGTCACAAAATCGAAAATTTGACTTTTCTGAGGGTCATAACTTTTTGTGCGTAAAAATTTGGGCGTAATCACTAATGCAGGGGAGCTCCTCACAACCCGTCTGTTCGATTGAAACTAAAATCTCAAATTGTGGAGGGTAGTTTTTGAGAAAAGTCAAAAAGTTTGAAAAAACGGTTAAGAAAACAAAAAATTTTTGAGGGCCATAATTTTTTGTGTAAAAAAATTTGGGCGTAACCACGACCTGTTCTATCCTTTTAACACAAAATCTCTGATTTAGACGGATAGTTTTTGCGAAAATTCAAAAAATCCAAAAGTTTGAGTCAAAAACTCCCCCTCCACAACTTTTTCGAAGGCTGTAGAAATTGGGGTAAGGTAAAAAGAGACTAGGGGAGTATGCAGGCACACAGGAGAGTGAGCGGATTTACCATTGGTTTTAATCTTTTGAAAATTGGTGGAGTAGATTTTGAGAAAAAAAACGAAAGTTTTCGTAAGCATCTCAAAAAAAAACCCGATCCCAATAACATTTTCGCAATACCTGTTTTTATCAAACAGGAACAAAATATCAAAATATCTAATTGCTAATTCGATGCAGCAAACTCGACGCAGCAAATACTGCTGCTTTAAGTCGCAGCACTAAGTGCGACTTAGACGCAACAATATTGCGACTTAGGGTGGAAAAATGGGAAAGTTCGTACTATAACACATTGCTTCGCAAGTGTAATAAACGCAAGTTAACTGAAAAAAATACCCAGCATTTCAATTTTCGAATGTTTAAGAAAACAGATGGCCTTAAAACTCTTCAAATTTCTAGAAAAACTTATGCTAAACAAATATTTGATAAAATTAACCCAATTTGACAAAACTAGATCAATACGTAAGTCTTTCATTTCGCTGGGAAATCTGAAAACAAATTACCACTTTCGAAACTAGAAGTCGGTCACGTTTTTCATGCCCTCTACACTTTTGCTGCTCAATAGTTGAGTTTCCCTTCCTTTCAACAAAAGAAATGAACTGAACTTAGAAAAAAATCAGAAGTCAAACCGCGAAAGTAAATTTGAGCCTGAACAAAAATCATCATGACCTATGTAAGACTCTGGACCACGTTCATCGACTGTTAAAAAACTTTCCTGAAATAAAACGGCTCAGATAATGGTGACTTCGATCATCAATTTAAAAGTTACCGATTAGATAATCATTTGAATGACAGGATATCACTATGACGCTGATTTCAAACATATGCCTCTAATTCTGAAGGCTACTCATGTCAGTGAAAACATTTTTGAACTTGAAATTCAATTGAACTGACTCGGCAAATTAATGCGCCAATTACAATTCAAATATCAGTTACTGCTGCGGTGCCTTGTCAATCTGGACAGCCATTCGATCGAGAACTTTGCAGCCACTGCTAGTGATCTTTCTGCCTCCGTCCTCATGTTTCTCAACGTAACCAAGGGCTTCCAGTTGCTGCAGACCCCTTCTGATTACTCCTTGGCCACCGAGAACAGTGTGTTCCCTCGCTGATCCGTAGTTTTTTCGGCCACCATAAACTCGTCGGAAAGCTCCAACACCTAGAAAGAAAGAACTTGTTCTCCATAAAATCGTTTAAAAATACATCTTTTTAAAACTTAACAACTACATTTTCGGAAACGCGACTCGAAGCAGACAGGCAGAGGTATTAGTTCTGTATTTAACACTCTGGTCCACGTTCAAATCTTCCGCCTTAAACCGCTAAAGCGAGAGGATGTTGACTTGGTTCTTAGTTCGAATTTTCAACCAACCATAATGGAGTACTTTCACGCAGCACAGTACTTATAACCCATTAAATTGGATGGAGGATCTCAACTTGATATCTCTAGCAAAAACTAAGTTAAGTGGTTATCCAACAGTCTTGTTCATGATAAATTACGGGCAGGGAATTAAATGTATACCTTATCTGACACTAAGGCAACGCGGATTCTCTAGCCCTTACGATTCATAAAAAAGTACACTTGCCAACTCAAATCAGGCGAATGAACCATTTGTGAAAGAGTAAAATCACATACACATAGGTTTTTTTTCAAATAATTGCAATTAGAAAGAATCACAACATCAAGAGCAGGCGCTATTTGATGCTTACTTCTGAAAAAAAAAATCAAAGATAAAATGCAAACTAACAAACAAAAAAAACTCCGAAAATTGCAGCAAAATCTTCGAACCCAATTGCTTGTAATTAACCAGAATAAATTAACTGAATTTTTAATTATAGTAACAAAAATCCGATATCATAGGCAAATTCCGTGCGGTGGCAACTTAAGCCGACAAAAATGAGCAGACGAACAAAATTCTGACAAAGATTTTCAGTCACACAGAAATACTTCCAAACATCTGAAAAAAATATATATATTTCCGAAAATAGTCCTGGTCAGAATTTTTTCGTCAACCACCCAGGAGGGCCGGCCAGAATAAATATTTAAGTTGACAAGAGCTCGTATATCAAGCGCTCAATTAGTCATGACTTACTTGCAAGAGCTCACCTTACAAATTGTAGCACACGTGCGACTTAAACCAGCAATCATAAGATTGCTGGTTACCATCACTACCAGAGAGCCACAATGCCATCACGAATTTCTCTTTTCAGGCACGCGTATATCCTGTAGATCACTTGTGCGGATTAACGCCTTGGTTTTGATTTTTTTTTAATGAACTGACGTGCCCAATTTTGTTAAACTAGTTGTTAACCTGACAAAATGAGTCGGGATTCCGATTTGAAAACGCCCGCTTATCACAAGCTAATCCAGAGGTTAAATTGAAATAATAGAGGTCGATCCGTTTTAATCAAGTTGAAAACCAGAAACTATCAAAAGATTTCTTTACAAGTAGCATCATGGTGCCGAAATAAATTAAAACTAATATCAAAGTTTAAAAAACTCAAATCAGATTTTTGAAGGATCGAGCAAAACTTTTATTTCTTAGTTTCTTGAAACCTATGTCATTTTCTTCGTATGATTATTTAAGAACTTACAACATTTTATTCAATCATTTTCGATATGATAAGATAGTTGAGACAATCGCTGAATGTTTTAATTAAAGGAACTATCGCATGTGTTGTTTTGGCAACTTCAACGAATAGATAAACAAGAGCGTTTTCAGCATGCAGACTGTTGGAGAAGTGGTTTACAGGAAAAATCTTATTTTACGAATTGATTACGTTGCTAATAGGGAGCATGATAATTTTATGCGGAATTACTGGCATAAAACTAAAATTCCACGAAATTTTTTTGACTCAACAACCTGCACCAATGGTGCTTTAGAAGTTGCATTCAGAAAATTGGAAGAAAGCTAAGCCTTCAAAAAGAGTCCGTGCTATGGGAACTAAGCCGACTTAAATAAACAGACGGACGATAGTCCTAAAAGCAGAAAAAAGTATTTTGTATTAAAAAAACAGGCCGCGGTCGGATTCGAGCGACAATCCCTTGTCGTCCCAGATGTGTCGTCCCTAATCGTCTCAGAAATAAGCAGATGTGTTATTTCAGCGCTGGATAGTTGATTGCTTTTAAATTTAGCATAAAGCAAGTTGAAACATGGAGAACAAGCGGAAAAAATCCATAACTCTGTTGCAACACCTTTGCTTATCGCAAGGCTAAAAAATAACAAACAACTCAAAACAGAGAAGAAAATGATACACCTTTTGTTTGAAAAAATTTCGAGTTCAAGAAAAAAACTCATCACTTTGAAGCTCTTCGAATTTCAATAATTTTTATGTTAATCGCTTTTTGAACTAGCCCAATTGGAGGAAACTGGGTCAATAGGTTATTTATATATTCCACTGCGAAATCTGACTTAAAATCCTTGTATTGAAACTATAAATAAATCATGCTTTTTCGCTCCACTTGCACTTTTTTAATTAGAGATCGCAATTTCCCTTCCCTTTAGCACATGATATTAAATTGATTTAAAAAAAAAAGAAATTAGTCAAGTCGCAAAATCAAGCGCGTGATCAAACTTTGAGTTTTTCCTAAGAAACAAAAAACCACTCGACCTGAATAAGTGTCTTCACTTCGTTCATCGACACTCAAAAAAGTCATGCAATTTTGAATCAGGCCCACAACAGTGATTCTCTTAAGTTCTGAACACCTCGCATTAGTGAACAAATATCATTAACTTAATTTTCCAAAAAATTTGTTCCAAGTAAATACCGATATTGTGCAATTTTTTCAACAGATGAATGCTGTGACTGGAACATTTTGTACGACTTGCACAGCAGCCAGCTTGTCTTGTAATGGAATAGCTTTTCTTTAGTTTTTATTCATACAATATCACAGCCTCATTTATTTTTCAAACAATTCGAAACAAACATGCAGAACATGAGTTCATGTTTTCAGATAATACCATCAATGGGTTCTCAGCCAAGAATTATCATTTGTTGGAGTTTGACAACTATAACTATTGTTCGTATGCTAGTTCAAAAGCGCCCTCGATCAATCATTTTCATTGACATGACATCAAGTTGTGACATTTACAATCAAAATTTACAATGAGGAAGAATAGCCTTATGTGCAGATCATTATTAGCCAGCTACATAAAATGCAACCGTTTTCGAAGTCTTTGAAAAGATGCTCTCCCATCGGGTGTCGGATATTTACGGATTTACGGCAAATTTGAGAGGAAAACTACAAACGGAAACCGTTCACCATTTTGGCAAATGTGGACATCACGTTGTCAGCGGGTGATATCCTTTTACGATGGACTCATTTAAAATTCAGGAGCAAAATTTGATGAAATGATGCTCTATTTAGAAAACACTCGTTCAGAAACACAATCGACGGCTTTTAAAGAAAATCCTGAAACATTTATCGAGCGCCAACAGACAACAGAGCCGACAAAACTGGGGAAAATTCCCGTAGAATCGAAAACAACATTGTTGCAACGAAAAACTTTGAACCGTAAATTCTATTCTATGATTTTTTACTATTTTGTGCATTAAAAATGTTTCGCTTGAAACGACCCCAAATTCGATCACTAATTAAAGCCAAAATAATTTGGAAATAGTGAAGTTTTTGGCGAAAAAAAACGAAAATGTACGAAGTCAAAGTTAGTAAAACTACAAACAGAAGTAAAACATAGCCAACAAACAGTTGGAAAAGAGTCAATGAACGCAAAAAAATAGAAAAAAATGGCTTTGAAAAAAACTTCAACTTTGCATTTCAAAATAAAAAATAGATGGCCTACTAGCTCTTTGAATTTTAAGAAAACTTTATCATTAACACTTTTTTGATAAAGTTAAGAAAACAAGTTTTTGAGAAAACTGGATTAATGGGCAAAGTTTTTATTTCGCTGGAAAATTCGAAAATTAAATTCCAGTTTCAAAATTAGAAGTCAATAACGTTTTTCTCGTGACCTTTACACTTTCACTGTATGTTAAAAAAAATCATAGTAGCAACCTAAATAGGAGTCTGAACTACGTTCATCGACTCTTAATCAAAACACTGCCAGCAAAAGTATGTTAACTTCATGCAGCAAAAAAATAAGATGTGGCAACTAAACCGATACAAAATAAGGCCTTATTATTCAGTAATATTAGAAATGAAGTGGACAAAACTTTTTATAGATTACATAAAAACTTCATTTCTCAAAATAAGGCCTTAGCAGACAAATAAGGCCTTATTATTTACTTTCTTGGGAATATATAAAGAAACGCAAAGTCAAAAAAATTTAAAAAAAAATCCCACAAAAATGAATTTAAAAAATACAGAAGTCGGAAAAACTATTGGCGCTCAATTACTTGCGCAAAATCCGAACACGGTCTTTTTTGATCTAAGCAAAAAGTTGCCTTCACCATAGACCAATTCCGCGCTGCGACAACTAAAATGGCAAAAAAACAAGCAGACAATCAGAAGTCCGACAAAGCAGAAAACTTTCCATTTAAAAACAAAACAGTCCTTGGCCGGATTCGAACTACTGACATTTTTCTTTGTAAAAAGGTGCGTTTCCCAGATTTTGTTTTCATATGAACCAAGGTGTAAAACGATTCTGTTAAACTAGTGGTTAAACTGGAAAAACGTCTATATTCCGATTATACATTCCGCAAGCGTAAATATGTTGGTTTATTTTTTAAATAGCTAATATACAGTAAATTTAAACAAAGCTCCTCCATAAAATAAATTTTAGTCTTCCTTTAAACACTTGTCAGAAAAGGATCTGCGGAATTTGCGAAAACTGTTTTTTTCTGGTGCTCTGGCAAACTCAAAAAATCCAAATGGTCAAACAAAAAAATAGCGAAAATTTTTAATAATGTTCACCGTTTGATAAATCCTCAGCCAGCAAACCGCTTAGATACCAAGCATACAAACTTCCAGTCACATGCGCGCCCTAACATTTTCTGTAAAAAGTGTGAAACGGAATTGTTATAAACCTAAATTCGACAGTACATCTTTAAAACCAACTAACCAATCGTCTTTCTGTAGTACAGGTGTCTCAAAATTGAGGCCATTCGATGAAGAAACCAGTCAGGATTTCTAGGCGGCAATTCTTTTCCATGAGATGTTTTAGCAAAATCGTGATGGGCTGGGCTCTGAACTTTGCCTCCCTTCTTGAGGAACTGGGCAACGACCTTGACCAGTTGACCTTGGTCGACGTCACAGGCGAGGGTTGCGGTATTTCTCCCTTTGAAGCTGCTGCTGACCATATCGTCAAGTCTGAAACTTTTCAATGATGGATTTTTCAAGAAAAATGGAAATTCAAACACCTTTAACAAGACAATTTTCAAAGATTTCTGGATTCAAGAACAACTGATAGGACTATAACCGCAAAGCTTTTTGGCTTTCAATCAGTTTCATTGATAACTTTTTCGATGAAGCTAATTCAATTAGAGAAAACCTGACTCATAGGTAATTTTTAAAAACCTTTTTTTTTGATAGAGAAATCTTAAAATACCAATTTTTACTTAGTTGAAGAGCAGAATTTGAGCACGGACCCTTAAATGAATTTGAAAATCGAGCTTCACAAAAAAAAACGAAAATCAAACCACCCAAGCACAACACTGAACGCAAAATTTGAATGAACTAAAACATTATGAAAAGAACTTTTCTTTCGACTTGAAGTTATGCAGTCTGTATTTCCCTAAGCTAGTTGGTATCAATCTCTTGTGCGCTCAAAACAAAAAATAACAAAATTAACTATCTAGGAACTTATTTTTTAATATGTACCATTTGTTTCGGTCTGTGAGATTCGTTCGTAGAAAAACCTACAACTCTCGACCTGGTTTTGCAACTTTTTAAGGCCTGTTAGGAGTTTTCTTCGAGAAACTTGAACTAAGTCTTAGAGAAACTAAATAAAAAACATGGTCAAAAGACATCTTGTTTCGCACATTCATGGCTTGGATTGTTAAATTATTATATAAATTTGTACAAAACTTTTTATAGATTACATAAACACTTCATTTCTAATATTTGAATCTCCTACAAATTACAGATAAAATAGATGATTGCTCCTCTAATTTTTCGTCCAGTTGAGTTTTATTTTACAAGAGGAGACTTGATGTGATTTGATTCTGAGAGATAGTTCTAAATTAAATCTACAAAATCTGTCAAATATGCAGCGAATTTTAATTGAAGATTGCAATTGTAAGTGTACTCAAAAAGTAAATATACGCCGTCAAAACATGAAACTAAACTATCAAAACTGCAGATATAGACAATAGAAAGACCTGAAAAAGTCATTGCAATAAATTTGGGTAAATCAATTAAAATATTACGAATATCTATAGCGAAGAGCATATTCCGCAGCACATTGGATGAACGCACGGTAACCTAAAATTAAATAGGAAAACAGTTTAAGGACGTAGTTTGCAGCCGTAATAGTACGAGGTCAGTGAAAAATATTAACTCTGATCTGAAAACAAAAGAACTTAAGGGTCTTCATAATATTTCCTGGTGCTTTTCTTCAGTCAGTGAAAATTTGATAATATACGCAGTGTGATTCATGCATCTGTCGCAGAGCTGTGATTTTTAAAATTTCGAAATCGACCATCAAGAAAACAAAAATGGAATGTAAAGCCAAAACTTAGAAACTGAAATAGAATACCATTCAAGTAAAGCGTTTCCAACTGTCATGCATTTTTAAAAACTGCTTATAATCATTGTCTCATTTTATCTTTAAAAAGAAAAATCGAATCACAGACGGAAACAATTTAGCTCCACATATTTCAAAACAATGCAAATCACGTTCATTTATCTGCTAAATAAACAACTACTTTCAAAATAATTAACTTGGCTATTTTTGCAGCATCTGATAAAAAACTAAGCAAAACCTCAATTTTTTTAACAGCTTAAAGTTGGACGAAAATTTAGCACAATGGTTTCCGAAGGAAAAAGATTTTCCACAACAGTTTTGATCTGGAGGTCAGGTCACATGAAGCATTGACCAAAAAAATTAAAGTTTAATTCTCGTGCATAGAAGTGTTTATTGACAACTGCTGGTTTTCCCGTTGGCTATCCGGGTGGTTGAAGTGATGAATTCCTTGCTCCGCACATCTTAACAGCAATGAAAACTCCCTTTCGAGAACACTTCTGAAGCGGCTTGGATTTGAGGGCACTTTTAAGACATTGACCAGAGGCTGGATCGACCTTTGGAACTCGGGATCTAACATCAACACACCACCGTGCAAACCTGATTCTGATAAATTCGGCACAAAATCTTCTAACCCTACGCGACAAAGCCACTGCGCGATCATTCTGTTTGACCAGACCAGTAAATTGATTTCGTAATTGGAATTGATAGCATCTTTCTGGAGTCTTTCTAGTTCTTTTCTGTCATAGTTTAACTTATTCAGAACTTGGATGCCGAACGCTATAGAATTTCGGTGGAAACTTTCCACGACTTTAAGTTGGCGCTGGAAATCTTTTTTGGTCAAATGAGACAACATCCTCGCGTCAACAAGACACTCCATAAATGCAGTTCTGTACTGTGGAAGCCCTATCAAGGGCAGCCATTCGTTCACAATCCACTCGTGGTTCATGTCGCCAAAAATCAACGGATTCGCTATTCTTGCCTTTCGGTCAGATGAACTGGAGGTATATTCCACTATCTCTTGAATAGCCAGTCTCAATTTCAATCGGTGTAGGTAGTTGGAGATTCCAATTTCCCGTTGAATCTCGGTGTCGGATAAAGCTGACATGATTGCACCACTTTTAACATTGGCTCTACACGCAGCAACGTACCATGCAGGCATTCCGACCCACAATTCTAACCATGCAACGACCACGGGTCCCGTCCATTGCGCAAACGGAATCTGATCATCTATTGCACCATGTAGTAAGTCCAGTTTTTTGTGTCGACTCCTGTCAAAATCCTGGCCGCCATTCATTCCATTCGAGTTTTTACTGTTGTATGGGTGTCCTGAGAGAGACTCTTGTGAACCGATCTCACTTTCACTTCCTCCCCCGTCGCTGAAGTAATCCCCCAGTCCATCTTTTCTGTATTTCTCCTTCCTGCCGAAGAACTTGCCGAGGGATCCTTTAAAGCTTCCTTGCTTTTTCTTCAGACCCGGGTTCGTTCCCATGCCTGACATAGTGTTATACTTGTTCATTGCAGGATTTCCTGAACGGTGAGGTAGCGTGTACATTCCATCTCCGTGTTGATGGTGGTGCTGGAATTCTTGTGGGTACATATCGGAGATTGGTCCGTTCTGTCCATTATACAAAACATGCTGACTGCCATGCGGACTATCAGGTGGCTTTTCTACACCTTTCATTGTCCAATCCGATCGCCTCTCGTTGTACTGATGATTTCTGAACCTAGAAGGCAGCGTCATGTGGTTCGGCCGACTTGGGTTGTTATGATTAAAACCCCAAACAGGCGATATATCAGTTGTGTTTGCCGGACTGATATTATCCAAGTCATCTAGACTTCCGCAATCCATCTTACTCACCAGTTCTTCTGTTCTCATTTCAGTGTTCTGTTTTTCCTCTTCGATTAATTTCATTTCCTTGTCGATAGCATCCAGTTGGTCTTGCAACACACGGCAAAGACTCAATGTTTCTTCATCGGTAACCACTGCTTGATTAGCTGATGACGTAGCAAACATCATGTCGTTTGCATTCGCAGGCGGCAGACTTCCTGGAGGCGAATAAAAAGCTTCTGAAGTAACGATTTTATCTTGGGGCATAAACATACTAGGGTCACAGTCACTGATTTGCGGCATCATACTCCCCTGGGTGAACGCTTGTTTGACATCTGCCAGTATTTGCGCTTGCTGTAACTTGTCCCACTCTTGCTCGTTTAGAGTCAGCACACGGTCTGGACTCTCTTTAATTGTCATTCGCCCCTTATTAGTCCGCAAGAGAGGTGCAGAATTGTCTCCCATATTTTCATGCTCATTTTCAGTTTCTTTGAAATTTTGGAGACCACTGACGTCCAAACTGTAGCGCAGTTTGTTCTCAAGACTTTTACTTTCAATTTTAGAACTCTCTAGTTCTTGACGAAGTATTCGAATAGTTTCCATTTGCTTGGACTTTTCGTCGTACTGTTCGTCCAGGATCTTTTTCATATTTTCCAATTCTGTTTGCAATACATTTCGTTCGTGTAAAACTACCATTCTCTCCTTTAAGTGTAACTGCAACCTTTCGTTTGACTCTGCCAATAACTTATCCACAGTTGACGTTAACCGTTGGTTATGTTCTTCGTTCATCTTCTCACGCTGCCTCGCTCGTTCCAACTCCCGTTTGCTTTCTTCCATCTGATCTGTCATTTGCTGAAGCTGCTCTTCAATGGTTCCTTTCTTCAGTTGAATTTGATTCAACGCTTGAGTCTTCTGAACCAATTCAGCTTGCACTTCAGGCAAGGTTTCAACTCTTTCGTACATTTGTGACATGCTCGCTTCACTTTGTTTCAAATCTTCTTGTAATTTTTCTACCTTCTCTTCTAGCAAATGAATGGTGTCATTTCTGTTTTGTAGTTCTTCTGTTAATTTGTCAACCTGGTCGTGAATCTGAGTGTTTTCTCTCTGAGCGTTCAAATATCTCTTTTCCAGAGTATCGATTCTTTTTTCCATATCTTCCTTCTGAGCAATTGACTCATGGTAGTCTCGATAGTACTTCGTTTTTTCTTCCATCGCTTGTTTTTGTTCTCGTTGACTGTTGTTCAACTGTTCAGTTATTTGAGCCAACATTCCAGACGACTCGGCCAGTTTCTCTTTGGTTTCGACAAGTTCATTGTCTTGACTTTCTAATGCACTTTGCAATTTCTTTACCATGTCTTGGTCTTTTGGATCAACTGGGCCGTTTATAATTGGGGTTATTTTGGTTTGTTCGAGAGCTATTCTGAGCTCTTCTTTTTCACGACGCAATTTCGCGCATTCATCGTCAAGTTGTTGACATTTTTCAAATGAACTTTTAAGTTTTTCGCGCATTTTTTCATCAAGTGCTTTGTGATGCTCAAATAAACTTTTGAGAGCTTTGAGAACCTCAACTTCACTGGAAACTCCTCCCGAGTTCATTGTCTGTCGCTTCACAACAGTCATGCGTAAAGATCGTTCATGACGTGAAACAAGACACTCCAGGTGTTCTAGTAAAAGTCGAGTATTATTTCGTTCAGCCTTTAGCTCTGCGATCTCTTCTTCCTGTTCAATCACTTTCTTTTGCATGTCATTGAGGTTCTTAGATAGAATAGAGACATCGGGATTCTGCGTTAGTTCCATTTGATTTTTCAAATTATCGTTATCTTTCATTGCATCCTCCCAGTGAACTTTATACATTTCACATTGGTCTTGAGTTGCTTTTAGGTGTTCAACTAGTTTGTCTCTTTCATCGAGCATTGTCATCATCATGTCTTCCAGGCTGGCTTTATCGCCTAAAAACAACGTTACAATCAAACTTTCAAAAGAAAAATTGATTAACAACTACTTCCCAAAATGATGCAAAAATGCATTGTCGAATAACTAGATCGAAGAAACTTTCATATCCCTCATCGATAGTTATTGTGATGCAAGGCAATATCTCTGCTCGAGCTAAAATTCGCTCGAATTAGGAACATAACTTATTCTTATATAAGAGGCAAACTACCTGCAATAGCCATTGGATCTTCGCATATGGTTGGCATAATATCACAGGTCATAGTTTCGGACGGAGATACACTAATACAGTCATCGGGTGCCTCCTCGACCTCTCCGCCTTCGGTACCCGACATTGCTTGTCCTGTGTTATGTTCTGAATCACCCATTTTAATGAATTTGAAGCTAATTACATTTTAAAATTCTATCTGAAAACAAAATTTTTACTAATCGCAAGCGAAACGATTATCGATATTGACAGCTAAGCTATATCACTTGATATCATGATCCAATTCTGTGTTTCAGCTAGCAAAAACTATCGACAACGCCATTTAACTTCTTGACATTATACTTTATATTCGGAATCAAATTGAAAACGGAGATACAGTTATAACCAACTGCTGACGAACTTATAATACAACAAGGATAGCCGGTTACTGTGCAAGTAGCACAGAATGTTCCGACCACAGTCTTGTAAAAATACAAAAAAGTTTTTTCAAATTAGTGTCGTTTGTTTTAGGAGCGGTGTGATAAAAAGCTGAACTAAAAACTCGAGCAAAACTATATTTTTACGTTTAAATTCAGCTATTATAAGCCATTAAAAAGCTATTGTAAGCCTGCTTGCTCGCTTTATTCGGTTGACTTTAAACCAGATTTTCTCGAAACTGGGAAAATTAGTTTGAAATTTTTTAACGTCGTTCGAAATCACGACCGTAAGGTGTGACATTCGACCAGAATGTGAAAAATGCAATCTCTGCAGAATTCGAATTTTTAGCAGCGAGCCTTCCGGATTGGTGATTAAGAACTAAGAACGTTATTGGAACGATTGGCCAAACGGTGAGGGCTAGAATATTCTGGTATTTTAAAATTTTAAAAATTCGAATTATGACGTCATATTTCTGAGAAACGTAAGAAACGGCCATTTTGGCTAAAACGAGAAAGAAAAACACAACAACATTAGTTGCGCGGACGATAAGTACGAAAATTGTGAGAAAAAACAATAGCAGATTGCAGGAATAGCAGTGAACACTCCGAGTTGCAACTAATGTGTCGCTACAATAGTTGCAAGGCCGTTGCAGACAACGGTGAAGGGTGGAGGACAGCCTTCCGGAATAAAAAGAAGTCAAAATTAGCGAGCTTGATTCAGTGGATTCAAGAATCCGGAAGGGTTTCGGGACTGAAACTTTTAGCCTGTTATATAGACTTTTAGCTTCTTGTCATGTCCTGATTTGAATTTAATTAACATCTAGATTCATTTTGATAAGGATGAGAAGCTAGGAGTTGGGCGAAAGTGTTGTGCCAGTCGGTCATGTTCGGAAGTTTGACCTTGAGAGAAGCAAAAAACACTTGATATTGGAGTGAAATTTAATTTTTCAAAATTTCGAATGGAACCTGTCATGCACGATTTTCTCGCGATAACTGAAAATCAGAAAAGAGAAGTCAGAACGATCGAGTGACAAGCGCGGGAAAGTTGCTAAATAAAACGGTGGGAAATTGCTATTCGCAATTTCTGTCACAATAGAACAAGAGTAGAGCTGTCCCATCTGAAACAGAGACAAGCGTATTCCCGAGAACTGGATTGTCATTACTCGATTGGATTATTATTTGAACTGGACTAGAGTGAACCTTCGGTGGAAAGGTGGACAGCTTGAGTGTCCCAATGGTTCACGAGAAACTATATCCTAGAGTTAAAACTTGTCCTTGTCATTGAAACTGATAAACATTAAAACTCATTTAGTTACATTATTTAATTCTCGAGTTGATTACCGACTGAAGTACTTCCCTTTCTTGAGCGTGCTACGATGTGAGTACTTAATTTAAATTTCTAGAGTGTGTTTTATAATTGTTATGTTGAGGTAAGGCGAGTTTTAGGTTGATCCATCTGAAATGGATCAAGGTTACACTGTCTAATAAAAAGTAACTTAACGGATTGTTCCAACCCGGTTTTTAACGGCGTTCATGTATTTTGGGTATCTAGAGACCTAAGTATGGGGACGTTTCTAATTCTAGAGTGGGGGGATATTTTAGTAGTAGCCTTTAAGCTGTAACGGGTCGTAGTCTCATGTCACAAACGAACCGAACTGGCTCCGAGGTAGAAAAACACAAGAGATGGTGTCCCTGACCCTTGAGCCAGTGGTTATAGGGCCTATTTTTCTTAAGCCTCATGTGTGACTGCAGTAGACGAATGTTACATAGTGTTTTTATGGCGCTCCTGGGTGTTTACGACATCAAGACTACGGAGTCGAACCCACTTGAGACAGCTTCGGGCTGAATGCCCATTCTAGAGTACCGGCGGTACGGTTCGACGGGAACGTGCAAACCTTCCGGTTGTACCGTGATAGCTTTTTAAGAAAACTCGAAAAAACTTCCTGGTACGCTTTCCGAACGAGGCTTAGCTAACCGAGTAAAGGGGGGCAACTAGGGGGACAAAAACACGAGCAAAAAGATAAAAAGCAAAACAAAACCAAAAAAGAATAGAAAAAGGAACAAAAACCATAAAATGAAAAAAGACAGTGACTTTGACACCAGATTAGTTGGATCAAACCTTTATATTAATTAAATAGTATACCCATACTGCTTTACAAGTTCGATCGTTTCGATCAACCTAGCAATTTAAACCAGTAAACTGAATAAAGTGCCCGAGTGTGGGGCGTTGTCAAGGGTTTTCAGATAGCTTGGAACTTAGCTGGACCAATAGGAGACTTCACTGGAAGAGGTGACCAGCCGAGTGGGAAAGTGGTTCAGGGACACTTGAGCTGAACCAATGGGAGACTTGACTGGAAGAGGTGACCAGCCGAGTGGGAAGGTGGTTCAGGGACACTTGAGCTGAACCAATAGGAGACTGGACTGGAACAGGTGACCAGTCGAGTGGGAAAGCAGCCAAGAAGGATTTGGCAATTCTCGAGTTCTCAAGTTGGGCAGAACGGGTATCGTTAAAATCCACATTACATTATAGGAGATAAGTGTAAAAAAGGATAAGCGATATCCCCCGGTTTTGAGGAACGTTTTTACTTGAGCAGGCCTGGAGACAGGTCTACGGTTTTCTCTTGAGAGGTTTAGCACCCGGCGCTTAAGGTAATTTTAGGCTTAAGAAGGGGGGCTAAAAAGGGGGGAGGTTAGAAGGGGGGCTGGTTAAGTTAGAGGTTGGCGGTTGTAAATTGTAAAAAGGAGGGAAATTAGAGTAACTAATTAGTCGACATCGTTGACTTAGTTACATCAGACATTAACACGCGTTGGTAATATTAGGTGGATATCGAAGTTTGAACTCGAGTTAAGGAAGGTACCCTGGTCGGATTGGTAGGGGGGAAGTGACATAGACAGTTTTTGTAATACCCCATAAGATCGCTAGCAGGGGGGAAGGAAACGCGTGGCAATTAGATACCAGACATTTTTTTTTTTTCGATAAAAGGTAGACATTTGTCACCTTTGAATTTTAGGTGGGCTCATCTTTCTGTTTTTATTACTTTTTCTTGCTTAGATTTTTGTTGCATTTTGGTAAGGATTTGTGTTAAAATTTTGTACGAACAGGTGATCACAAGATACCTGCGCACAGGTTTTGGTCTCAAGTTACTTGGAACATTGAAATAGAGGTAGCCAAAAAGAGAAATAAAAAAAGGGGGGTCAGCATTTGGCTTTTAAGAGAGGATTTTGGGAAAATTTTACTAGAGCTTGAGTGGTGGTACAAGGTACGGCGAATCAATAAGTCCCCATAACGAAGAGGAAAGAAGTCCCACCACCCAGACACTTGTCAACAGTCTTGGGACAGTGCCGAAGAAGTCTTAGGACAGAGCAGTCTTGGGACAGGGTCTTGGGACAAGGTCTTGGGACAAGGTCTTGGGACAAGGGTCTTGGGACAGGATCTTGGGACAGGGTCTTGGGACAAGGTCTTGGGACAGGGTCTTGGGACAAGGTCTTGGGACGGGGTCTTGGGACAAGGTCTTGGGACAAGGGTCTTGGGACAGGGTCTTGGGACAGGGTCTTGGGACAAGGTCTTGGGACAGGGTCTTGGGACAAGGTCTTGGGACAAGGTCTTGGGACGGGGTCTTGGGACAAGGTCTTGGGACAAGGTCTTGTGACAAGGGTCTTGGGACAGGGTCTTGGGACAGGGTCTTGAGACAGGGTCTTGGGACAGGGTCTTGGGACAAGGGTCTTGGGACAGGGTTCTTGGGACAGGGTCTTGGGACGGGAGTCTTGGGACAGTAGTCTTGGGACACTAGTCTTGGGACAGTAGTCTTGGGACACTAGTCTTGGGACACTAGTCTTGGGACAGTAGTCTTGGGACACTAGTCTTGGGACACTAGTCTTGGGACAGTAGTCTTGGGACACTGGCCTTGGGACAGTAGTCTTGGACAAGAGTCTTGGGACACTGCCGGAAAGTACTGGGACGGTACCGAACAGTCTTGGGACAGGAGAAAGAAGCCTGGAACGGTACAAAGAAGAGTAGGGACGGCAATTGGAAGTCTTGGGACAGTATAAAAATTGAAGTAAAATTACAAGAAGTGTTTTAAGACAGAATTAAGATAGAACAAGACTAATTGGAACCAGGTACGGTTGAGACCACAAATAAGGAAAGTTTCTCGAAAAGTTAATAAAGAGAACTGAAACAAGGTTTTCACCACGTTGTATATTTTTTTTAAGAAATTTTTTTTTTCTCGAAAGATTTTATTCTTAGAATAGGATTGTGTATATAGTAAAATTGTAAATAAGAACAATTGTAAATAGAAATAATGAGGCGGAGCAGGGTACCGGTAGCTGAAAAAAGACCTACCGAAGCAAAGTATAATTCGTCGCTACGCAAAACAACATCAATGGGCCCAAAGATAACAAAGAAGAACTTTTCAGTTAACATGGTCAGCACAAGGAGTACAACGGAGAGAGCAAGAGAGGGCATGGAAGGGGAACGAGTAGAACCCACCATCGAGATTGATCTAGAGACACCTGATCAAAGTGTTGATGAAACAAGGAAAATAGCGACGGAGTCAACTCCAATGCCCAATGCAGAAGAACCAAACTCGAAACCCATAGAATTCTCACCAATAGACAACGTGGAAGATGCAATAGGCAACACCGAAGAAACGGTGAAAGAAGACTCTCAAGTAAAAAAGACATCTTTTACAGAAAGGTTGGCGGTGATGGTCGGAATAAAAACGAAAGAGAACATGACTGAAGAACCAAAAGCTGAAAGAGCACGAACATTTGGAACAG